GATATGGGGTGTTAAAGTTTCTTTTTAAAAACCAAAGATTTGTTTATTTCTTCTGAAACCAGACGAGATATTCAAATGAAATTTGGTGGATTTTGAGAGGTAACTTTTACGCATTATTTGACATAAAATTCAAAATTTTACGTTCGTCATTGTCGCATATACGGGTAATAATATAATTTTTTTAAAGAAAAAAATATAATAGCTACGCCACTGTGGCATTTTTATTAAAAATTCAATTACGAATGAATTCCTCGTTCAATTTGTGACAAAAAAACTCTCTTGTGTTTTTTTCGTAAGGGTCGCTGTTTTCAAGTAAAAAAATAAAACATGTCGACGTGTATTTTTCATTTCCTCAATACATCATTATTTTTCCATACAGAATCACCCCTTAAAGTTTATCGCACTTATTAATTAACACCCTGTATAAACACCATAAATACATATATATACATAGGTATAAGATGTATTATATTTTCTATACACGGTGCCGCGATATCGATATCTTGGCGCCTGTTATAATATTTCTTGTTTCCTATTATAGAAAACCTTCGAATATTCATTATACGCATATACGATGGCATTCGAAATGAGTAACAGTTATCCCCTTTACCCGACGACATAGTAATATGCAAATCGGACGGCGCTTAAACGATCTATACACTCGAAAAGGAATTTCGCCATACACGGTGGCACAAATTCCCTACAAAAACTTTCTAGGTACTTTCGTTTTGTAACTAGCGAAAAAGTTACCAAAATTCTGACATATGTCGAGCTTTAGACTTAGTTTTTTTTCGCCTCCAATCAGCGAATCGTTCACTGTGAGGAGCTCTATACAGATAAGAGTTGATGACCAAATCGGTGATGATTTGTAGTTGTTTGGAAAGTTATTCGATCGATTCATCCTGTATAAGTTTGTATCACCAAGCCCCTCGGTCTCGGACCATTATTTATATACTTTCGGAAAAAGAAAAATGCGTTCGCAACAACAGGTATACACTATATGGTGTACCTATATGTATATCGACCTTTGCGTTAACAATAGAGAAATGATTTTTTACCAGTTCGTTAAAGTTGTGTTGCTATGGGCTTTTGTCGAGACGATTCTTTAGAGTAGAGAAAGTTATCTCTCGAGTGCATGTTATATCGAATTTATTCGATTATTCGATTGCCCACGAGACATTCCGGATTATTCCGGGTGCGTTTAATTAACGAATAAATTAATCGAAATATGAAAATTCTTCTTTCTAACTATGTTTATATACGCCGGTGTTGGTATAAAAGTTCCCGAACGCCGTTAGATATTATTTATTTGAATACCTTTTAAACGGCCTAATAAAAAATAATTAACGCCGGAGGATCCGAATCCGAATCGCAGGTATAATACCTATAATATGTTTATATAAATGCCTAAAAAGTGAAACGTTCCGGCGCCCTTTCAGCAGGATAACGAATTCGATTGTCAACGCCGGTCTATCTACAAGAAATATAGTTTTATTTTTACAATATTTCAAAAGGTTGATGCAACAAACGCCAGTTCTGGTGAAAGATTATCCCGATCTTACGCGGTAATCTGTGATAAAAATCGAATTAACAGGACCGTACCGGCCCCAAAATGCCCTTAGTAAAAACTTACAACGATGACTTGGATATCAATAAAAATCAACACCTAACACTGATGGTTAAATTAACTAATTACTAGATGATTAAATGAATAAAAAATCGCACGTTTTTCCTCGCATTTAGAGTATGCTATCTATCTACCCCCTCGCTTAAAGTTTCGAAAAAAGAAAAATAAAAGGAAAAAAATCCAGCTCTTTGTAGGTTCGAGCATAAATTTGAATATGTAATTCTTAACGTCTTAATTATGGGTACGGTGTGTGGCGAAGCCGGTAAACTCGTTGGGTACTCTATGGTGTATATAAATATGTTTGCGTGCGGTCGATCAGTGTTGGAACTCGAATTTTCGATTGTTGTTAAAAATATTTATTTAAAAAAAACTCTATCACTCAATTTCGATTAAAAATAAATATACGGCGAGTACCGCAAGGATGTTAAATGAAATGATTAAACGGAAGATAAGAATACCTCTAATATAACTTTTGGATATTTCGAGATTATAAACGGAACGATGTGATGTGGTGTGTGACAAATAATTTTATTGAAAAATTTTATTAGGTAATTAAATAAAGTGTCGTTGAATAAATCCTACTCCACTGAAATTTCATTGGTCCTAACCGAGAAGTCTGCGTGCTCGAAGAATATCTTCATCAGTATTGTAGTATTTATTACACCAATATAACTGGTAACAAGCCGACGTTCTCTCACTTATTGACCACACGGAATCGCTCGTCAATTTCACCAGGACTATACCTATAGGTACTTTTTATTTTTATTATTTTGAGAATTATTTTAAGATCTTTTTTTGATAATTTATTCGAGCTTACGAAGCTTTGAAGTTTATAAATTTACATCAGATAGTTACATACTTGGAATTGTGGGTTATGTAAAAGTGTATATCTATTTGTTATTTCTTACATATAAGGTGTAGATTGTAATCTTGCAAATAACTTATTTATCTGGGCTTTTGATAAATCGACCCTAAGTGAATGGAGTTGAGACTGACTAATGTGGAATTCTTCTCTACTGCCACTATAGCAACTAAATGTTAGATTTTATAAGAACCAAATTCGCGAATTGTAACTTTATGTTATCTAGAAGTATTTGAGTACACAAGAGAATACAAAAAAGAGGAAAAATAATATAAAAGCGGACGGTTTATTTTTGCTAGAAATTCTTATAAATCGTATGAGAAAAATTAACTAACATTTAATTTTTTTGGATACTTGTTAAGAAAATATTTAGTCTTATTCAAACGATTTTAATTTTTTTATATTTTACGAACAAAAAAAAAGAAACTTGCCATCAACTATACTAACCATATTTTTACATATTTCCACACCAATTTGACTCGCATAAAAATCCTTCGCAACAAATCGAATAACATTTAATAATAATCGCGAAATATCATCACCGTAAAAGCTCACGATCTCGGAAACTTCGTGGAAGTAGTAACTTGGAAAATGCGATTATAAAGTTGTGGCGTTTTTTTTTTCTCTCTACATTTTGTGTAGACATAATTTTGCCGGTTTTTCTGATCGTTTACATTGAATCTTGACCCAATGCAATTGTCGAAATGATTTGCGAACTCTTCTAAAACTGGGTGTACAGGAAGTGCGCTCATTGTCCTTAAATTCGGTCCCAGTTTTCCAAAACTTTCCGGAAAACCCAATAACGAACAATGTCGTCTTTCTTTAGACCGAAAGTAAAGCTTTTTACACCCGAACTTATCGATATATTATTATTTAACTGCCATTTCATTGGCTATAATTAAACATACAAATATGATGATAATATTCCTTCGAAAGTGAAAGAGATATTAAAACTTCAAATCTAGTTGATTAGTGTAATATAATCGAGCATTTTGGAATCGGAATCTATAATTTTCAATTAACGACAGTTTTCATTAATTATGAATAATTAAAAAGCGCATTGTGACACTCTATAGAATCTGATAAGATCGTATTTATAAGGTGAATTCGAGGAATTAATTCTATTTTTATTGGATCGTATTAAATTTCAATTAATCTAGCCGCAAACATGGCGAATTAGTGTCGCCTGCGATATACGCGTAAAAACACCTTCATTTCCGCTGCGAAAAATATATTTATCCAAAATAATTCTCTCTAATTTCTCACTAAATTATCTCTAAAATACGAAATAAATGTTTAAAAAAAACGTCTATTGTTCTCATACTACTCGTGCATGATGGGTTGTCTAACTTGCCAAATTTAGACTTTTATTATACAGGGTGTCTACTATAAGAAGTACCAAATTTCGGGAGGTGATTATACCAATAATTTCGAACCAAAACTGATGTCCTATAACAATTTTTCGAGAAGTTAAGTAGACACACCTACAAAAAAAATGTTTTATTGGGGAACTTTCCCAGCCTAGTTCAGTGCAAGTTACACAATTAACGATAACGTAACGTATAACGTATAACGTAAAGAGAGTGAGTACGGAATGACCCGCTATGTGTAGACCACGTGAGTATCTGTATATAATATATCTAAACGCCCCCGCTAGAGCGGTGGTTAAAATGCCGGGCGATATAAACAGTGTTAGAGAAGTAAATTAGACCGCTGGAAAAGAAACCACCCTCTACCAGAAGTCAGGATGAGGAACAAAATAAAGTTTAGTTAATATCATAGAGAAAATATAAATGTTGAATAGTATATAGAGGTTTAAGCATAGCCGAATTGATGGCAATGGCATGTGGCATGTGGCATGTGGCATGGAATGGAGTCTCGTCAGTTGCCATCCGAACGCCGCATTGGTAACAAATGAAACGCGAGCGCGCGCCAACTTATATTGTAGATATAGGGAGAGAGACATTCACATAATACGGAAAAACTTTTGCGCTATTTAGTTGTCGGGGGTCGGTCGGTTTTTTCGTTATTTCTTGGTCGTTCCCGGGCCCGGAGGAAAATCAAAAATCGGTGTGATAGTGACCGAAGAAATTTAACTCTCTCTCTTACTCTCGCGTTTTTTTTGTTGAATTATTTTTCATCCAAATATATACCTAAGAGTGGAGCTGTGAGATTTTTTTTTTGTATATCGTAGTGGAAAGGAAGAAAATGTGCGACTTAACGTTAACGGAGAACCAGACTGTTGTTGTTGTTGTTGTTGTTGTTAACGCGAAAAGGTTATCGATGGGAGAAAAATTCTACTGCAGCAAGCGGTAAAGTCGAAAGAAATTAGAGCAAAAATGTTAGAGGAAGATAATAAGGCTTATAAAATTTTAGATAGAAAATATTCAAGTAATTCAAGGTAATAGGAAATATTTTTTTTCTATAAAAAATTATAGTTACCCCGTCCAGAACAAAACTATATATAGATATATAGATATAAATATAATAACGCAATAAATATACCTAAAAATGGCTGTATACAAAAATTATTACAACCGCAAAGCCCATTGGACTTTAATGGCAATTTCATGTTTGTATCTTCTCTGTAGTATTGTGAGCGCCGAAAGGGTAAGACATCCTCATATGAAACGTGCGGAACCCGGTTGGTCGCAATTAGAAAAATCATCATCGAGTAATTCGAATAAAAATTCGATACTCAGTTGCCCGAATTGCCTTTACGAAAACGAATTAGATAGAGAGAAAAAGGAGACGGACAAACTTAGATTAGAAGCGATCAAACGACAAATTTTACAAAAATTAGGTTTGCGACAAAAACCGAACGTGACGCATAGTCTTCCTAAAGAGATTATTTTGGAAACGCTCGTTAGAACGGAGGACGAAGATAGCGAAGATTTTTTAAGGAATTTTGATAGAGATGAAATTTATTCGACTACTAGCGCTAGGAATAATATCATGGAGACTGTCGATGTTGATGATTTCTACGGCAGGACGTCCGAAATCATTTCCTTTGCCGAAGAAGGTAATTAATTAATATTTTACTATACCTATATAGATATATTAATATTCATTTTATCCTAAGTTTTTTTTTATATGTATAAAATTCAAGATAAAATGTGTAGGTACTAAGAGAATGTTATAAAACTAGTGTATCTACAAATTTTGAAGCAAAATGGAATTACAAAATTCAAATATTTTATTTTATTACACACATGCATTTGCATATATCAAAAACATTTTTTTTAATAACAAATTTATGAATTTTTTCGCGTTTATAAAAATAAAATTCTCCTGTAAACGCAAAAAAATTTTTTTAGAATTAATTGAATAAAAGTTTCTTACCCACGTGACGATTAAAAATTAATTTTTCAAATTTATACCTATATGTTAAAAAATATTTCCTGATATAACCATTAAGTACTTCTTAAAGACGGAACATAATTTAGTTTATTAATTATTAGATTGTTAGTAAAAATTATTTATGCTTCTTTTTTCTTCTTAATTATACCGAGGATCGGTTTACAAATCCTTTAGCGAATTTTTTGCCTCCTGGGAGGTCCTGCGGTACTTAAATTGCTACATGAGCATAAACGTTTCTTAGCTCAAAACAAACCACAATAATTCCAATATCCTATTTATTTCTTTAGTAAATATATTTATTCCTTATTATACCATTGAAAAATCATGCTAGTTGAAACGAAATTTGATTTATTAGTACTCCAATAACAATTTTTATTCTTAATTATTTCTAATATTTCTCGGCGATATATTTTTTTTTCAAATTTCTCGTTATCGTACTTACACTTACTACACCAATTTAATGACCACGTTTTGAAATGTAAACATCGGCAGCTGACGTGCAAATGCATTTTAATATGTTTCCCCCGCGAACGTTACCACACAAATAATTTTATACCAAAAAACGAGCAATTATCAAATAAACAATTCGATTAATGAGCCGGTTTTTCGCATTCCCTCGCGAAAATTCGCATGTTTTCCAATTCGACCGGTTTTCATTAGGTCAAAATTCCGCTATCGTTTCTCACAGTCATCATATAGCGCAGAAAACTGTTTACGTTCGTCGCACTGGAGTTTTCCAAGGGAAGAAATTCCGCGGAATTTTTATTCGTCCGAGATTCCTGCATAAAAAACCGACTGAATTCGGTTCGTTCGGATCGAAATGTAGCGGAGACGAAGCCATTTCGACGCTATCAAAATAAATTATCGTCAGTTATGCAAATACCTATGCATGTATATACCGAAAAGAGAATCATCCTAATTAATCTCCAATTAATTAATCGATATATACCTGAACAAAACTATAAACAATAGTTTTTTTGTGGAAAAAAAAATCATTTCTTTAAAGCACGACAAAATCGGTTGTTTGCACGACAATACAAATCTAAATAGTTTCAGTCCGGTGATGTATTCGAGAGGAAATTTTCGTTTAAACAAAACTGTGAGAGTGGACGCGAATCGTCCATTATTTTCCATTTACAAGTCGAAGTTTTAGTTAATTTGACGAGAAAACTTTCGGCGACATTCGATTCCGATTCAATAAAGAGAAGAAGAAGAAGAAGAAGAAAAAAAAACGTCCGTAAAAAGTTTCGGTCGATTCGCCCTTGGAAAACAGCATAATTTAAGCAGTTATATCGACGTCGCGGCAACTCGGGAGGAAAAAAATATATCAAACGGACTTTAAAAATTGTTTACCGCTCGATTTTATTTGCAGTGCAATCGAATTTTAGAGATGAATCGATTCGAATTGTAGTCCGGTCTGGTCCGGCTTTTTGCTAATTGGCTTCTTTCGCTTTCACTTTATTTTCCGTCAAAAATTCCCGCGAGTATAAAGGGAATAATGAATTTTTAATCTCATTACACGGAGTGGTCCGATGTTGTAAATTCGATTAAATCGAGTCGGGGAAAAAACTTGAAAATCTCTTTAACCGTATTGCATACAGTTGGATTTTTATTCGATTTTATCTAATGTTTCCCTGCACGCGCAACTTATCTCTACTCTATTCTATAGTTAATTGTTTTAAACACTAATAAACATTTTTTTAACCATTTTATATTCCACAAAAAACCGAACAAATTATTCTAATTGGCGCAGTCAAAAGGACTCAATTTATTCAATGTAATACAGGAAAATTATATGTTATATACGCGTTAGAGGGGTGTGAATAAATTTAGGGCGGATTGTTGTGGATGCTTTTGGAAGTAGCGTGAAATTAATGAAAATTTCTCATCGACCTCCGAAAGTATTTTTCGCCCGGAAAGGCTCATTATTAATTGTCTTTTACGATGATATTTATCCTTGACTTACTTATCGGCTCATTTCCTCGTCCGGAATTATTCGTGCACATTAAATTTAGCTTTATACGGAATTAGTTTTAAACGGAATGGGGCCCTTTTATTATTTATTAATAAACTATATAAAGCGTATCGATTCGAACTAAACGGTTGTCGATCATTTGTGAATATGCCCCATTCGATTTGTTTGAGTTTTAATTAATTTTTATCCCAGCGGCATATATTTTGTGAGAGCATTATTTATTTATGTATTTAATAAGGTTCGAATTCTATTTTGAGGGTATAGGAATCTTCGTGGGATATTAATGATGAAAAATTTGAAGAGTTTTAAATAGTACTAAAATATCTGAAAAAAAATTATGAAAAATTTTGCAAATAAACAATTTTTCGATTTATGCATAAATATAACATTTCAACGCGTATATTACAGTCTTTATAAACTTTTTACTTGGCAAGTTTCTGGTCATAATATTCTTGCAAAACGGCCGGAATAATATCACAGTGCTGGGGCTATATAAAAACATATAAATAGATAAGTGCATGCAAAGACGAAATACGTAAAAGTGATAGGCAATAAAATTGTTTTGAAACTATTAAAAATCCTCCTCTAATTCTCCCATGATGGGGGAGGGAACCAGATATAACCCCACAAAACGACGTCGAAATATACTTACATTATAATTCAATTTCACATGTATCGATTTTTATTTAAATGAATAATTTATCGAATTAAGCAAGGTATTTTCCAAAAAAAAAAAAATCAAATCCTGATCCTGAATAAGGATAACGCGAATTTGTGAAAATTTTGTTGAAAAACCACCTAAAAGATTAACAAAATGTATCAACAATGTACAACAAAAAAATATATCTAAATAAAAAAAAAACTTGATCCTGATCCTGAACTACCATGAGGATAACACGTGATACCGGCCACCACGTGTTCCACGCCATTCCATTCCCTGCAAGTTCGAACATCGTCCGTTGCGTTTCAATTCCCTTATACTAAAGAAAGATACAAAGTATAATACGATGTATATACATCAGAAGGAAGGGAAAGAAAGAAAAAAAAAAAAAAAAAAAATAGGGAGGAGATCGCAGGTCTCCGGCAACGCGTCCTTGGACAGAAGAAAAATCCCGTCTGCGAGGATCTTACAGACTATGCGGCGATGTTATCAGTTTTTCGAGAGGCCTGTTAAACATGATGGCAGGCCCGGCTGGGCGTCGGGACGCTGAGACTCAGCCGTCAGGTTGGAGCCGACGGCATCGATCGGTTTGCCGTTGGCCGACGACTGCTGGTTTACTTACTACTATAATACTATATATCTATACTACTATTGCTACTACGTATATATATATATATATATATGCCGCCGAGAGACCGGTTTCCAAATGGAAATTCGGGATATTGTACAATGGATATTTGGGGTGGAATGTGTGTTGGAAATGAAGGACGAAGAGGACGATCCGATGCATGGATGGTGCGATGACGGGACGCTGTCCGATGTGTGGATAAGGGTTCTATATATACAGGGTGTTTGTTAATTAGATGTTTTTTTTTTCGTAAAATAATCTTGGAGATACTAATACTCGCTAAATGTTAAAAAGGGTTTGGGAAAGTTGGGGGAAAGAGGTTAGAATTTAGTCGTATTTTTTCGGGAAATAGCACGCCGGATTAGAATCAAAAATCGCTATAGTTATTATTTTAATATGCTTCTATTTCGGAATATTCGCAAAGAGAATTTTTAATTCTGTTATAGACAAATTTATCAACTAATTGCAAAAAAATTATCAAACACAATGATTCGAATGTTTGGAAATTTCGATTAAATTTTTAATGAACCATCCAAAGCGCCCGTTTTCGTGTCGGTGATTCGAATAAAAAAATAATTTCCAAGTGCATTCCACTCAAAATTTTTCACCAATTACTAATTATTCCAAAGTGTATCGAAAACGAAAATTTATCGCGATAATTATAATATTTCGGGATTTATTCACTCGTAAAAATTCGTACTGAATTAGGTATATCCACATTCAATTAAAAATCTAATTAGTATCAATACTATTTAATAATTATTTAATACACGTGGTATAGAAAAAAATATACCAAACTAACTCTACACAATTTTATCGACGATGATTTTTTCCTAATGGAAAACAAACTGAACCAAAATTGATAATTAATGATTGGAAAATAATACTCTTCTCCTCTTCCGGCATAATTCCCGTGGGCGTTTCAAGTATTGCTTTTAATGAATTAGGGAATAAAGTCTATATACAGGACGTCCCGAAATTAATTCAACAAAAATTACTCGGCGAAAACATCCTGTATACGAATAATTTAGGATCCAACTTGGCCAAAATTTGACAACGCGGCGAAACATCATATAAACATAACAGAGATATGTGTGTGTTTTGTATCTGTAAGTCCTTTTCGATTTTTATGTATCATTTTTCGGACAACTTTCCGTCCTTATACATAAATCAATCTTCGCTTCGAGGGAGCATCAAAACTTGTATTTTGTTTCGCCCCCCCCGGATTTTTTTTTCGATTTTATTCGCGTTACAAAACCGGCTTTAAAGCGAGTTTGATATTCATTTAACCTAATTAAACCGGCCGTTCGTATATAGCATGTTTTCGACTAGTTCTTCGCTGTTTATTTATAAAGTATGCACTTTAGTCACGGAATAATTACAGATTCAAACGGTTCGATTTTTTCAAAGGTGCTTTCGCGTTCGATATTTCACCAATTCTCTATTATACACATTATATTCCTTATACCAGTCGACGCCGTAAATTATTCAGTTAATTTCGATTAGACTTTTAGCGATGATTCTTTTATATATGCAACGATATGCATCGTTTATCTACCTTCTACTGATTAACAATAATCAGTACTACCCATTATGGGGATGCTGATGCATCAGAAGGAATCAAAAAAAAATGCAATTCTCATTAGAATGTCTGAGAAAGGAGCACCAACAAAACGGTTATCCGGCCGTCGAATCGAAAGGCCCCGGCGGGAGGGAAGTCGATATGCAGTAGGAAGAGAACCAAAAATGCTGTAATGCTATCGGAGATTCCGCGGAAGTTCGGAAGTTGCGAATAAAATCAGGAAGGCAGAAGGCAACTCGGATGACTGACCTCGCGACTGATTCTGACTCAACGCATTGTTGCCATACGTTTTTACTGTGGAAAATGTTTCGCGAAAAACCAACGTTTTGCTATTCGGGTGAAATTAAAAGGCTTTGTAGGTGAGGAATTCCGCCGGAATTTTAATTCGAGGCTCCTCCGCCAAAATTTTGAAACTCCTCCGCCAAAATTTAGAAGCTCCTCCGCCAACATTTTAAAACGAGCTTTAAAGTTGTGAAGTATTTCTCGTTAATTTTAACACTTTTTTTACTTTTGCAATAGATTAATTAAGTACACAATTATTTAATCTCGTATACACTAATTCTTTATATTCGTTTATAGAATTTTTCACCCCGTTATCACCCAATAAACGAGGATATTTTTCAACGCGCCACCGTCATTCGTAATTTCGTACAGCGAATTCTATCGATTAAACTATTATTTTAAGCCCGAATACAATAGCAAAGTATCCGGTTTTCGATGCCGGGCTGGGATTTCATGGCGTGAGTCCTTTCGTTTCCAGAAGGGTCGCGGAAACGAATACGCCAACTCCCATATGTATTCGTGATTAAACCATTTCAAAGACTTCATCGTCAATTATCGACGGGTTTTTCTGCTTTATTTCGTGCGCCAACTTCCATTTATTAGCGCGTTCATATTTACTATTTGTAAGAAAAATTGTTACCCCGCGTTATTAGTATTTTGCCTAATAAATTGACTGAATAGATATCTAATCAATAGGATAATTGAGCAATTTATTCGAAAGTATAATATGTTTAAAAGTGAACAAACCGTTTCGTCATCAAGCATAAAACCCCAAGCACAATATATTATAGTCATTCAATCGTGTTTACTCGACTCTAAACTATACTAGACGTTTCGAATAAAATGTTATGTTATTCGACGATTACGACATCAGTCGAGTACTTAAATTTCAAACGTAATATGCGAAAGCAGTCGTAACTCTTTGGCGAGAGTGAGAGAAAGAGACAGAGCTTATATTTTGGCGGAGGATCAGCATCAGGCGAGGCCATTTTTTTTTAAACAAGGAATAAAAAATAATCAAAACGGACGAAGCGGTTAATTTTTTAATTAATTAAACCCGCACGCCAATGGACGAAACTAAACTGCACGGCTTCGCAAAAGCCGGTAATATAATTCGAGAGAGAGAGAGAGAGGGGCTCGAAAAAGCGTCGAATTTCCCGTATCGGGCGTCGCGATGCGCCTATCTATAATTATAGAGCAATTATAGAGAAACGAGGCGAAAAAAATAAATAAAAAAAAACTCTCGCCGGTCCTCGACCACTTCAAACGACGTGAGGAAGATCAAGGTTGGGAAAACGAGAGGAAAACGCGCCACGTGCGGGCTCAGGTGGCGCGTGAAAATCTCGCCGGGCGTAGAAAAGACAAAAAGGATAATCGGAAAAATCGGGATAATCGGGAAAATCGCATCGCCCAAGCCGTTTTCTTTTATATTGCGGTTTCGTCTCGACTCGAAAATGCCCCTATAAGTGATAATTTTATAATTCATCACTCTCTTAAACTGTTCAAAACACTTTAGAACGCCTCAAAATGATTTAGAGAATATTTCAGAATGATTTAGAACGCCTCGTGATGATCTAGACGGATTAGATACTTGCTCAATAAGATAGTTGATCAAAAAGAAAATTGATTGAATATACTTGATCAATAGGAATAATTTTATAGTCAACACTTTTGAAAATTGTTTATACTCGTATATAGAAGAAGCAAGTATGGTGGAATTATGGGGGTATAATTTCATGGGGGACGAGTGGCGTTCTCTTCGGTTTACGTGCCTTCCGATGGACGAAAAACAAATAATGGGTGTAATAAAAGAGGCAAAAAAAAATGTCGGAATGGAGATTCTTCTTCGGGATAAGTGTATTGGACCGGGGACGAAAAAATAGAAGGAAAAAAAAAAAAACGTCGAACGTGGGGCCATATTTCGTCTGATCGGAACGAAAGCGGAAATGGGCGAAATAAATATTTTACTTTCGAAATGACCGCGAGAGGATAGTGTTGAATAAACGATTTTAAACTAGTTAGATGTTGAAAAAATTGTAGTCGCTTTCGAGACGAATCAAACAACATTTATTGCTATAGGAAAATACCGTTATACTCAAGGACGAAAATTCGCTAGTAATATTTCAGGATCTTCACAAGTTGCCAAATTTTTTATCGTTTACGAGCAAATAACCCATAACTACAATAACACTGTAGATTTACAGAGTGAGTCATGTTTCGCATGTTTATTTGTACCACCCTATATTAATATCATAATGAATATTTAAGGCCCAAAGAAAATTGTTTTCTCTTATATAAAAGATAGAGAACGAAGAGAATACATCGCCGTGCATTTTGTATATTTAACCATCCCGGATTCGTATTTATCTACTAAAGAACGAAGTCTTCTTCGGGAGTTGTGCAGTTATATTTTACGATAACAGAGATAGCATCAGAAATAGAAATTGCGATCCGCGATTCTCCATTTTATACGCCGTTTCTCGGTCGCGAATTTATCGATACAATTTTTCGATTTCATCGTCGACAACTTGATTCGATTTTTATTCCGCTCGAATAATTGGACGGTTCGGAATCGTTAAAAAGTTTTACTTAAAACTCTCGATAGTTGTAAGTTATAACTTGTTGCAGTATTTGTTCAGTCGTTAAATCGCGCGTTTAACCAACATTTTTCGATAATATATTTCTATATTTATATGTTACAAGATGTAAGATTATCTCAGTTTCTCTCTCTATTATGTGGAGTATAAAGCCATTTTTTTATCGTATACATAATTATTTTTCCATTGAAAATTGTGATATAAAATAGGTGTATTATACATGCCTGTTGTTTTCGTTATATCGTCGAATTGCAGTCTAGTATTCGTTTTGAATCGATGTTGTGTAAAATATTAACTGGTATTGTTAAATTTTAATCTATAGAAACGCTGGCAAAACGCTAAATCGTTTATGAAATATATCTGTATCTGTTGAAAATATCCCTATATATAGGTAATTTTCCGCGTTTCATTTCGTTTTGTATACACAGTAATTTATCAACTTATAATGATTTTTATCATTAACAACATCGTATAAAAATTATTCTAATAAGTGTTTACTTATTGCATATTTATTAACCCACCCTGTATATTTGTAATATTAAAAATTAACGATTTAATCGAGTTCGGCAAGTTCTCGATACATCATCGATTTTTCCGCTGATGATTATTCCGCCATGTATACATGGAAAAGTTTGTATAATAGACATGGCATGCACATCATGTAGATACATCAGATATAAAAAGGGATTTACTTTTGTGCGATTCGAAGACGAACTTGCAGGAATCAATGCTTCGATGAATTATTCATGATAATTTTTAAAACATTTTTACGAGAAATAAACTGTCCGGACTAAATAAAAATGAGAAAAAAGCAGTCGCCGGAAATTTGCGTATATAAACTTATACATTGTTTCTAAAAGAATGATGGGATTTGATGCAACTTATTTAATAGCGAAAATAGTTACAATAGAATTTTTTGTTGTAATGAGAGGCGTATTCCTGACCTAGTGCTGGGAATTACGACGTGAAAAATCTTCTCTTCCGACTTCTCTAGACTTCCTTCAAATCCACCACGCGTTTCTCTTTTATCACCTTTTTATACCAAATCGCCGATTTTCTCGCCGTCCTTTTGCGATTCGCGTCCGAAAAGTCGACGTGATACAAGCCGTACTTTTCCCTAGACAAATCCGGAAATAGAAGAAAAAAAATACAAGACATTTTCCATACACATTCCCACCTGTAACCAGACGTCCATTGGAAACTGTCGAGGAAACTCCATATCGCATAACCTTTTACATTCGTCCCGTCCTCGTGGATGGACTCCAAAATCGCTTGTAGGTATTTCTGGAATAATCCCATAAAATGTATATACACTGCTCGTTTTGCTAATTTACGCTGCACTCATTTCGACGTACAGTGTATATGAAATAAATTTATTATAATGATAAATAAATATTAATAATCGTATAGGATTAATCGTTTCGAGACTTAACCACGAATTTAACAGCCCGCGTGACCGTCGTAAAACCGACACGTGGACTTTTTTCCCTGTTTTATCAAAACGATCGTAAAACATCCGTAAAGTTGCCGATTTTTTTTTACTTATCCCGATCTTTTATAGCGGAAATATATTTCTAGTCGTAAAGGATTTAACAAAAACGCACGCGGATTTATTTTTATCGCCCCGTCGCAATTTCTCGCTTAATTAATTAGGCTTGATTTAAAGAAGGTTTTAAATTTGATGAGAGATTTGCTATACGTTTTTAAAACGCTTCTATGTGTTCTAGTATTGTTTAGAACGATTCAGAACGCTTTGGGGCAATGTCGAACTGTTCAGGACGATTTAGAGTAGTTCAGAATAGCTTCAGAATGCATTTCAGATGTCTAGAAGAAATAAGAAGACTTCTGAATGAATTATAACTGTTCAGAACTATTTTAGGAACTGTATAGAATAAATAACAATTGTTCAGAATGAATTTAAACCGTCCTGAACAACTTAGAACTTGGTCAATAAGATAATTGAACTGCTAAAAACGATTTTTAACTTGGTAATTTGAGAAAATTTCTAGTGGATTTTACATAGTTTTGGTTACCTGTAGATTTTGCACTCTCTTCGCGTCGTTTATCTCCGCCTTGTCGGTGAAACCGTTACCGATAATGAAAATCTCCGGATCATCATATTTGTCCTTGACCCATTTCAATACCTTCCTGACCCCATCCGGAACGACCTGACAAACAAACACATCCATTCATTTCGGCGTTTCTCGCGTTTCTCCTGCCATAATACTATATCGGAATTTTAAATTTTTGGCTTCTATCAATGCCGGATTCGATACAGATTAATACGTTTTTTTTTTCATCGGAATTATCTCTAGAAAATGTATAAATAAAAGTTGTTACCCTCAACCAATCGGTGTTAGTTTTAGTCCAGGATTTGTCCTGGTAGAATGTAACGTTTAGATCTTTTTTAGTGGCGGTTTCGTTGGTTTTTTCGGTATTTTGCCTCACCAAAAATGTAGTGTCGATGTTCAATCCGGCGAAATCGTACGTCCCCTGTATATAGTCGATTTCCTGCGGCGATAAAATCGGTAATCTCGATTGCAGGTAACCCTCCTCTCTACTGACGTTATACACGCGTTCTCGCATTATCCTCGGGTAATTTCCATCGGTGTGAAATATCGGATTCATAATCGAACCAATCTATACGCAGAAATATACAGCGAAATAATTTCATTTGTTAAGTAACTTTACCTTAAATTCCCTCGCCCTTTCGGCCGCTATAATATCCTCCGGAGCGAAACTCCCCGCTTCGTACCAACTAGCGTTCACTCCTATACCTATTTTACCTGCAAGTAATCGAACAATCCCAACATAAAAATCGACCAATTCCAATTAGAACCCACCATTTTGACTGGTCCTAAACTCCTCGTCGTAGAGCAAATAAACCTTGGCGTGGGCCAGGAGCATAACGTGCGTGCAAAGATAACGACTGGTCGATGGTTCATCGATAAAAGGCGGATCGACATCGTCCCCGTAACCCGAACAATCCGCCTCCAAAGTGATCCAATTCTTCACCCGATCGCCGAAATAGCTGAACAGGATGCGAGCGTAATCCTCGAAGTAGTAGGCCGTGTACGGGTTCGTCCAACCGCCGAGGCGCTGCAGCACCATCGGCATGTCCTTGTGGTGCATGGTCACCATGGGTTTGATGCCGTTGGCGATTAATTCGTTGATTAGATCGTTGTAGTATCGCAATCCGTCGCCGTTGATGGGATGGGAGAATCCTTGGGGTAGTATCCGGCTCCATGAGATGGAGAATCGGTAGAAATCGACGCCCAAATCGGCGAGTAGTTTGACGTCCGTTCGCCATTTGTGGTAGGAATCGCAGGCGACGTTGCCGTTGGTTTCGTTGAAGAATTTCTTCGGTTTGGTTTTGGTGTAGTGGTCGAATATGCTTTCGCCTTTACCTGCGATGGAATTCTAGACGTTTTTAGGGGGACACGCTGTATAGTTGTTGGTTGTTTGTAAAGAACGTACCGTCCTCGTTGTAGCCGCCTTCGATTTGGTAAGCGCTGGAAGCGACTCCGAAGGAAAAGTCGACGGGAAATCGATGTTTCTCGAAATCGGTTTTTTCCAAACTGGACGGGCAAAATGTATTTTATATAGTTTCTAGAATTACTAGAGTTACTAGAGAGTAATGTACTTTACACTAATTATTACTCTGTTGATTACTTTAAATTAGAAATGTGTTAATAAAAATGTTTTTCACCTGTTTTTCGTACATAAGAGTATCACTGTTGCTTGAAAAATTGATTTAATCATCGTGATGTTTTCTCGTTCAATTAAAACGGTGCGTTTACAGTAAACTGATGATGCGTTATCACTATTTCGTGTATAAACAAAACGTTTCGAGATATCTCAAAAGGTTCTTTTTTACAGGGTGATGTATTTTCATTTTTTTTTACATCTATCTACAATTAAGTTATTTCAATTGCTTGGATTGGTGCATTTTTTTACAAGGACACACTGTATATTTCAAAGTAATTAATTTTAAGGGACTTGTATCTGAATGTAATGGTTTATAAAATAAATAAAATCGCCCTGTACAAGTAGAACAAAATTGTTGATAAAACCTAATTTAATCAACGATATTTCAATAATAATAATATTTCACTGGTACCCATTTTCGTCAATATCAGAAAACATCCGAGCAACTAACAAAAAAAAAACGCGAGGAATCCCCCGGAGAAAAAATTAAATTGATGAGTGTCCTATTCATCATCGGTTTTTTTCTTCATACCAAACGGGATAAGGCTAATAAGAAAACTTCCCAACTGATAAAATCCAAAAAAAAAAAAGTAAATATAAAAATCGATCGCCTTTAATGTTACCGATCCGAAAGCGAAAACTTTTTTAAACTGCCAGCCGTAAAGGTTTAGTATCGAATAGTTTCTACGAAATTGAATACACTCACTTATACCCCATAACAATTTAATAAAACAGTAAATAAAGATGCACCGAATAAGTTACACTTAAAATGATTAAAGAGTACCTAAACATATATGTAGTACATAAAACACCCTGTATTATACGAAATTCGTTGCAGGTCCGAGAGTCAATCAGAATCGCCTGCTGGAATTCCGAGCTTCTATCCAGGAATCCCATCAAGCCGGCCAGGAATTCCACGTGAGAAGCGCCACCTTGTGGGTGAAGGCCGACGTCCAATCGACCCACCGCCGTCGCGACGACCAGCCCAAATGCCGGACGACCGACATTTTCGTCTTCAAAGTCATATCGAGGGCCCTGCCCGAGTCGGTCACGCTCAGTTCCAGGGTAAGTCAAACTCCATTCATCCAACCCTTCATCATATATTGAACGGTTTAGAGTTTTAAACTCGTGCATCTCAGTAATATCTTATTCAATTACTCCAGCCTATATGTAGTTTGTAAAAAAAAACATAAAGGGTTCCTGAGCGGATCGGATCGAAGGGAATTAATCGAGCGTCGCGGCGTCCCCCGAAAACTCCGCTATCAATTTCTCCATTCTTGAGTTACTTAATTTCGACGTTGATAAATAACGTCTGAGGCCTTCGGTCAGCTCGGGCATTGATAAGTTTCGAAACGTTTATACCATCGGTATAAATAAGGGGTCTGTTCGAGGAGGGGAAGAAAGGGCCTAAAGGTTACCTAAATGTCCTGTCATTCGTTTCGACCCGAAATCGGATTGAGCGAGGTCGACTCGACGAGATATTTCTCATCTTGTATCCGCACTAACAAATTTCCCTTTTCCTTCCATTCACACGAAAATTATATTATCGATGAATCTCTAAACCTACAAGATTCCTGTTCAGTACACCTATCACCATTCTACCACCATTGATGACCCAAAAGAGAACTCAAATTTGTTTTGTTTAAAAATTCATCAGCAAATCGATTAAATCGTTAATATCTTCGACAGCAATTCGACCGTCTGACCGCCGATCCGGTCTCGATCGGCCTGGATGAATCCCGGCCGGGCTGGCAGAAGATCGACCTCACCGAAACGGTGAGACAGTGGCTGAAGGAGAACGACGAGGCCAAACTGCGGTTGTTCGTCGATTGCAGCTGTTGCTCCAATTGGCAAGTCCATCTGTTCAACGACGACGACGACAAACGGCCGCACAACATCAACAACAACAACAACAACAACAACAGACCGTTCCTGGTGATCCACACCGATCCGAGCGCGGCGAAGCGCGTGCGCCGGAGGGCCATCGATTGCTCAGAGGATTCGGGCAACCAGTGTTGCAAGCAGAGGTTCTACGTCAGCTTCAAGGCGTTGGGTTGGGACGATTGGGTCATTGCACCACAAGGGTAAGTTTGCATTCTTCAATGTCGAATATCGTTTTGTTATCTTCTGGTTGGCGGATTTCAAAAGGCGCCTTCTTCTTGAATATCCTCTTCTTTAATTGACTCTTCTTGAAAGGTTCTTTCTAGAATAACAGCTTCTGGAATGGACTCTTCTTGAATTGTCCATTTTTTTGAATTGCCTCTTCTTGAATATCCTCTTCTTTAATTACCTCCTCTTGAAGCGTCCTTTCTGGAATAACAGCTTATGGAATTGCCTCATCTTGAATGGCCTCTTGCAAATTACCCCATCCGCTACAGTTTCTTCTCAAATATTCCTCTTAATCTTCTCTTCCTCATACAATCCCACCCCTATTCATACTCTTCTGTTTACACCAATCTCGCTCACTTCTCGAGCTCGACGCCTTCTTCTTATAGCTCCATCCGGCCTCTTGCGAAGCAGCGCAACCGGCCAACTCTACAACAGCGTCCGTTTCGATGTGTGTGTGTATTATTAATATTTCTGTTTGTAGTTACTACGCGAATTACTGCCGAGGTGATTGCAGCCACCATCGCACGCCCGACACCTACGTGACCTATCACACCCATGTGATAGAAGAGGTGCGCAAGACGCAGCATCTGTCAGGTATGACGCCGTGTTGCGCTCCGCTAAAGTTCTCTAGCATGAGTTTGATCTATTACGGGCCGGACTCGACCATAATCAAAAGGGACTTGCCGAAGATGGTGGTGGACGAGTGCGGGTGTCCGTGAATCGGGATAAAAATTTATTGGAATTTGGGGGAGATTTTTGGAATTTTTTGAAGCGAAACGAGCGCATGTTGTTTGTATGGTGTGGTGTATGTTGTTATATAAATACATGGGGACTTGGTTGTTTGCTTGTCGTTCGACTGATTCGAAGGAATTCCACGATCGTTATTTTGGTGATTAGAGGTAAAAAAAGGGGGGAGTCTCGATGGATGCGGCTAAATCCTATATCAGAAGAAATGTTTGGTGTTCGGATAGATAGTTAAAAGAATAATGAATTTCTAACGGTCATTAGCATTAAATTTTTAACGACTTTATATGATAAAATTGTTTACCGGTTTTTAGAATAATCCAAGTATTTATTAATCAACTGTTTGTTTTTACCAATTACCAAGCATCTTCGAGTACGTGCAAACCTAAGACGAATGGTGTAGTTAAGGGAATTGTTGAATTAAAAAATTTAACTGTATACTGAATTTTCTGAGATTTTTTTACTCAATTATTTCCTTTCCTAAAACTTTCTGTTTTGAAGAATATTTAATATTGTCTCGTTACCATTTCGTTATGCTATAATAAAATTAAGCAAAGAAGAGAGGACTGACACAGTATTATTACTATTTAAAATAAAAATAAATTGTTGAAATTGTTTGCAATATAAAGGTGAAGATAAACGAATTAAAGAATGATGAATATACCTACTAAAAATTTATGTGTTCATTTTGCGCATTATTCGAATAAATATTTCATTTTATATCCCGACTATAATCGATTTTTTTTGGTATAATTATTTTAAAAGTCTTGTACAAATTTATTTAATTTTTACATCTAAATTCGGTTAGAACAAAATAATAAAACACACACACACACACGTTATTCATCATTTTGGATGTAAACTAGAAAATGAATTATTTTTATATTTCGCCTTAATAGATATTGTATGTAGCCTGAATATTTCAGGATTTAAAAAATAAACGGTATTTTCGACGAACGTCTTGTTAATTTAATTCAAACGCATTCGAATATCTTAATATTTAATAAAAAATTATATTATAAATAAAAAAAATTAAATTATTTAGACTTAGACTGTAAAGCAGTAAATATATCTCTCTTGATATTGAAAATATACATTTTTCGAAGCTGTTGTAAGCTTTAACTTTTTCAATATTTATAAATAGCCGAGAGTATCAAAGCTTTATCGACTTAAACGAGAAGAAATCTTGATGAAATTTCTAATGGAATTATTAACATAGTGAGGTTGATATGAGATTAAGTTTCCTTTCTCCAAATCTTTTGCACATTTCGAACTTTAATTAATTCGACAACAACAAAAAAAAATACAAAAATTTTGCATTATTAAAACTCAGTTTTACGAATAATATCTCGAATACTTCATCACAAAATCCGAATTATCCCCGCAACGTCTTTTGACATATTAATGGCTTCCTGAAAGCCCCGCGTCTTCCTTAACGTTCCGATATTTTTATCCAATATATCCTATTAATTTTTTCATTCGATTAGAAACGGCATTTTCGGCAGATGGAACGACTAGAAAAGCTCTAAAAACTATTCGGTATTTTACTTAATTTAAGCTCTTCATACGGGTGTACAACAAAAAGTTCCCAATGAAATATCGCAGGAGAATTCGCTGTCGGGCGAATTTAGAATTTTTTTTAATGAGCGAGCGCATTTATTTACTTAAATAAATTGCCGGGGCCAGTTGGAAATTCGGTTTCGAATTTTTCCCGTTGTTTCCATTTGGAATTATTGGTCCGGTGCCAACGTTATACAGTGAAAGGTATCCGAATAGGAAAACTCTGTCCTGATGATGTATCTCCTTGTGCAATGGAAAAATTGCAATCTATTTGGATAAAGGGAAACCGAGAAATCTCCCATCAACCCTCGTATAGCGATTTGAATTACATCGAAGCCTATTTATTCATATCGTTTTAGAATGAGTATTGGTACTTTTGAATCAGTTAAAATATGATTTGTTTCGTGGCTAAATTATCTCGAATTTATTTTTTTTTTTTTCATATTTTAATTGAGTCGGATTTGTGAAAAATGCATCGAACGTATTTTCTAAATGTAATTTGAATTTGGAATAATTCTCACGCGACAGTTTGTTAACTCTTGTATTGAATATAAATATTCCCTCCCTTTGCCCCCGTTTTTAGTTTTAATTATTTATATTTGAGGCATTTTTATACTTGCGTATTCCGTCGGTAATTAAAAGTTTTTTACCAATTTCTGTGATTTTATAATGATGTATAGCAATTAAAAATGTACCAGTTGAATAATTTTTAGTTGACACGTTTTTTTGTACTTAAGTGTTGTTTTCACTGCCTTGTTTAAATAATATCGAATAAAAAAAATAACATAAAAATTAAAATGACAATAATATATTACAAAAAAAAATTGTATGTAATAAAAAAATAAAGAACGATTGAAAATGCAGAATTTTTCATGGCAATATAAATGGGCGTTGATCATTTGCGAATTATTTTGTAAATATACAATCAAATCAAAAATTTAGCGTTAGATTTTTTTATATATGAAAAGCGCATTTTATATTAGCATGAAGAATGCTGTTTATACCAATATCTTGTAAGTAATCTATACTAGTCGATTATTTCCTAATACTCCTACTTATAAAAATACATATTATAGCTTTTACTCAAAATACCGATATGGAAAATTCAAATTTACTAATCAGATTTTTTCAACCAATTATTTTAACCACACTGATCTCAAAATTTAATCATATTTTTTGAAATAATAAAAAAATCAATTAAAATATTTCCTAAAAAACGTCCCATCTACATAAAAAAAATTATTAAATATTATCTAATCTATCTGTATAATCGAAATATTGGGACCACTACATTTACAAGTCCACATTTCAGTTAATAATAGTTTTTCTGTTCACGATTTTATTAAATAAATTTAAATTTAAATTACAAAAAAAATCTAATTAGTAAATTTTAATGTGCACATTACCGTTCGCAATTGTATTTATCCCGCCTCGAAGTTGTAATCAGACGTCAAATAAATTGTATATGGTTAAAATTTTATCGCGAAACTTTTAGCAATATTAAACAAAGATTTTAAACGTTGAATTGTAAATAAAATGGAAAATTTTAGCCATATAAAAAAAATACATCGATCCACACTATACTGACAGTTAATAATAATAATAATAATAGTGCATAATGTAGATGTGCTAATTCATGTTTGAAGGAAAATTGCACATCTGCATTCCGTTAAATTCCATATTTTAACAATCAGTATAGGGAGAATTATTAAAATTTTATTTGTGTGCTTTCTTTACTTTGTGAAATCGATTTGTTTTTAATTGAATATCCAGTTACAATCAATTACTCATATAAAAAAAGAACTAAAATGCTATATCTTTGGAATAAGAATATTTCTCGAAGATAAGTTCTATTGAAATCGCAATAATGTACAATAAAAAAAAATACTAAAATGAAATTAGCTTTTGCAATATGAAGAATATAAATTATTTGATAAAATAATGGCTCATTAGGTTTAGAAGATGCGCAATTTTTAATAAAATTAAAAACGTGAGAAACAAACAAAATGTTCCTGATAAATTGTAAAAATATTGCGATTAATAAAAAAATATAATGAAAAAAAAAAAACTGAATAAAATTCGTTTTATTTCTCCTCTCAATACCCTTGCACATATCGAATAGCCAGAAATTATGATCGATACGCCACTGGAGGCGTAGTCTCCAACCCTAGTTTCTCCCATTCTGGTCGGGGGCGACAAACTACAGTAACTATTGTAAGTTCTTTATATAAAAGATTTGTAACCAATAATTTATGCTCGGAGCTGACCCGCTTTTGGCAACATACCAGCACTCCAAGATAGATATTGTGCAAAAATGGATATGAGAAAAATACCAGGGCACTAAATGAGTTTGTCTGGATGATCTTTTCAGACGGCGTTTTAGCCAGTCGTGTTAGTTATGAAGGTTTGATTCCTTTTATTTTTTTTGTTTGTAAGTATTCCAACTTTGTTTTCTACTATATACGAAAATTTTTAAAATGCACTCGATTATCGATCGTTCGAAATTGAAAACAAAAATGACTGGTATTTCGTAAATGCCCTTTGCAATTAACAGAGAATCGCATACTCGAGCCTATTGTCTAAATGATAAATAACTTTCTAATAAAAATCCATCAACGGACCCCTCTCGCTTCGCGTTATTCACCTAATCGAAAATGCAAGAAAACTATTTGTAAACAATGAATCGCTGTATCGCAGATGTTGCACGTCTGATCTCTTAGAAATTAATTCAACTTTCAATCTTTTCTTCTTCTCCTCCTCCTCCTCCTCGCCTTTTTCCATTCCCGATAAAATGGTTCATTACTGGAGGAAATGCGAGAAATATACACTGTTGTGTTGGTGCTTCTTTAACTCAAATTTCGATGGAATTTGAAGAAAAATTGATAGAAATTAAATGAAAAAAAACATGGGATAAATCAAAAGAAATCCGGGCGCATTTCGCATGCAAGTGCATCGCATAAAACTGTTTATACATTTATCCGGAAAAGCGATTACTTTTCCGCTCGTTCGACATCACTTAGGATGACCTAATTGAAAAGAGGGAATACAATTTACCTAAAAGTCCACACCACGTGCATTTCTTTATTACCATCAAAAAATACTCTCGATGAAAAAAAATAAAAAATAAATAGAAACACTCTGTATTACCCGACGATAAATCACCAGGACGCACTGGTAAAAACTAATTTGAATACGGTTTTAGTTTCGGGGGATTTCCCTTTACAAAATATTTTCTTTCATCGCTATTATCCATCATTTTTAAGACCATCTACATTTTACTTTTATTGCTTTTTGTTTGACGGCTTCTTGCCGAATATTTCAAACGAAACGAATGTTTCACTAAATATATTTGTTTCCTTCGAATTAATCCAAACATTGGATGCATTTCTTGTTCAATTTGTCCAAAGAATCATGTGTGAGAATAAGATAATTTTATAAGTAAAAAATTGTAGTATATCCGGATGAAAATTGTGGATATGTTTAGTGTGTTAGTATAAAGATATTTTTTAGTCCTACAACAATTTCCCGAGGATCGGAATCGCCAACTAGAATTACACCATGGAACGAAGGATTCACAGAGAGTACAAGACAAAAGCATTTTGTGGAAAATATTGACTGGTCGGTACGAGTGTTCGGTTTTTACAGTTAAATACTGTCCGGGGCTATTATACGCATTTCAATTCTTGGCGTATAAATTGTTCCACAACATTTAATCAATTTTTGGAATTGCGCTCTCGGTTTATGACCGTTCCCTTTTGAGCTTCGCTAACACAACAACCACTTTAAACCAGACGATAGGCAAAAAATATCGTGAATAAAACGATTTCCGTTTTTGTATATGAATTAATTTTCTTTTAAAATGGCGCACAACGACCGATTATATTTCATTTGCCATCACAGGTTTCGCTATGGCCGGATAATAATTTGATAATTTCCGAATCGAGTCGACGATTCGAAAACAAAAAATTAAACAAAAAAATTGTCGAGCTTATCTTCCTCCATTCCCGATGGCCCGTTTTTATCCATGAATCTCTCCGTTATTCCCATTGTACTCTGCAAAATTTAATATGGTATATCCTAAACATCGAAAAACTGCATTCGAATCGTAAACTAAACGGTCGGCACGAATGCAATTTACCAGTGGCGTAAAAACTATTTTACAAATTAATTTTTTGGGCCACAAAATGCATGTACTTTTTTTGTGTACGCTTTAGATGAATTAAAGCTTGCACAAAGCAGCTTAATTTTACTTTGCTTTACACAAAAAATTATGATGCACTCAACTCATCTAATTTCCTCACGTAAAAAATAATTTATCTCATTTATATACAAAGTTACATAAGCAAAAAATAAAACGCGTACGTCATTGAGCGTCGCGATGCGTCGTTTCGCGAACGAAAAGAACAAGAAAAAATAAATAAAAAAAAAAACAACCCAACGAACAGAATAATTGTAATAGACTGAACAGCCATAGTTGTTGTACTAGTACTAATGTAATGATCCATATTTAATGTACATAAAGGTCCCTATGGTAGTGAGTGATGGTGGCTGCGAGACGCCAGCGTGACGTCACAAGACGACGTCGGCGACGCTCAGTCCGGACCAAAAGAGAGAGAGAGATGAGAAGACGTCCCTCCTTCCAGACGCTAAAGAGAGACGCCGTCATTTACCCTCGACATGCTTTTCTCTCGTGCTTTATACTATATTTCTTACGAAATAATTTCGACAATTATCGACTTTAGAAGCACTTTTATTAAGAAATTCGACACGCGATTGTTGGTTTCGATTCACGTGTACCCGTAATACGAGTTGCCCAGTAAATTGTTGTAACAATCTGGAAGAAAAAAAACGGATGAATTGTAATCGAGATATGTTTATAAATATGAAGCATTTACTTTGATGTGAATGGTAGAGGCGAAATGATAAGAGAAAAAGGTTTTACAACCAAGAAACCTTTTGTTTTAAAGCAACAGCAGGTTAATCGAAGCAAAATCACTCTTTTCTTACTTAATTACTTAATATTTCGAAGCAAAAAGGTTGTACTTCTTTTTATAATAAATACGACCAAATACCTCCCAAAAATCATCACCGATTCATCGCTAAACAACCCCACAAAATCAATCATAAGATACATACGTTTGCAATAGATCTCTCCACCGTTTTCATAAACATTCTTGATATCCAACAATTTATTACAACAAACGCAGGAGAAACAACTCGTGTGATACGAACCGCTCGTCACGGATATCCTCTCGGCGGCGTACACCTTAAAACAAAAACCCATTCGACTTTTTCCAAACCAAATGATTTCTCCACAATGCCATTTCCCCATCAAAACGGGGCCAATTTCTCTCCCTTACCTTACAACCGCATCTCACGCACACCGCCGTGCATTCGGACCGGACGCGATCCATCTTGCAATCGCAAGGATTCGGCTCGCCGCAAGGACGACAATTCGTCCGCCGGTTGCGATCGCATCGCGAGCAATCCTCGCAGGTCGTCCTGCAACAGGACGGATCGTCCTTGCGGCATTTGTAGCAGACGAAGTCGCGAAAGCAACGCGTCGGAGATTCCGGACGATGGGAATGGGAATGGGATTGGGATCCTCGCTGGTAGGATCGCGGGGAATGTCGAAAGGATTCCGATGGTTCGATGGCATCCGGCGGTTGGGTGCAATGGTGGCAACAATGGGGGGATCGCTTGCGCGGGGAACCGCATCTTCAACAAAAACAGGTATATGTTGTTGTAGAAGATGTTGGTGCAAAAGTTTAGCAAACGTTAAGAAGACTGTGATAACACAACAGGTGTAAGTGTGTTGTAGAAGTTGGTAGAAAAGTTTAGCAAACATAAAGAAGACTGTGATGGAAGCGATTTTATTCGACAAAAAGTTTTACAGTTTTTTCGTACTATTCAACGCTCTGTACCAAAACAAATAACGTTTTCCTTCCTCTACCACCAATTCGCTGACGCCTAAATTAAAAACATCGATGATTATTATTTAGATAATTAACGATTTCATTCGAACGTACCGACAGGCGATAATTCTTCGACACCTGGTGGATTATTAACATCGGGATCATCGTCCAAATTGTATATCCACCAATATATATTATCGTTTTTATCTTCGGTATAACCGGCGATTTCGGACACGTACATACCCCAATTGTATTCAATCGCAGTAAATTTGTACATGGGATCCAATTGTTCCGCTTCGAGCATCGTCCGATAAAATGTCGAATTTCGAGTTATTGGTACAATTAAAGTTGTAGCTTCCTCTATCGGATTTCTCACCCATAAAGTGTACGGCACGTGGATTAAATCTAACAAAGTTTTTAAAAGCACAAAACTCTTAGCTAATTAACTATATTTCGATATTTACCTTGCGCCAAAATCCCAACACAACACCATGTTAACACCAAACAAACGACCTTCGAGTACATTTTCTTATCGAATAAATCGCAATCTTTACTCGCGTTTCTTATCAATAGATAATACAATCTAAATAAATCGACTTTTACCTTCTAACAGGCGACGCGATTCGCGGTTTAACTTCATACTCGTTACACCGACAATCCCGGTACTTCCTGCACGAACAACAGGCCTTCGAATCATCGCCGGTAGGGGGCGCGCAGCAGCAGCACAAACGACAGACGGCCTTCTCTTCTCTATTCGGCCTGTCGCAACAACAATTGTTGCAGCATCTGGTGCAACAACAACGCTGCCGTCGGTTGCATTCCCTGTTGCAGGGGCTGCGATCGTCCCTCGAACATCTCGTCCTGGCCGGGGAGCATCGCTTCCTAGGGGGCGTGAGGGTTCTGATCGTAATCGACGGTTGAAAATCGCCGGTTTTCTGATCGTCGTTGCGACTATCGTCGTTCGAATGGCGCTTCTGCGAACTGGAATATTCGCATTTAGAGTAGATGAAGAGCTGATGAGGCTTCCTTTGTACGAGGGTAGGGTGATAAGTACTCGTACTGATAGACTGAAGTATCTAGAACCTTTTAGAACGCACCAGAACCTTAATTAGATTTTGTATTTCATTGTCAGGCCGAGAACTTTTCCCGTTGCCCTCGTATGCACAAATCGGGCTGAATAAAGCATTAGTAGGTGGCCCAGAGGTAGTGAAATGTGAGTAGTGAAACGCTTACAGATGTCTATTTTTCTTCCTCATTCCTGATCGATTGTAATAATTGGCGACCTCTCTGGGCATGGGAAAGGCGAAGCAGTAGGTCTTGTTTTTCGCATCGGGAATGCAACTGCAGGACTGGATGTTCTTGTTGAGGCTGTTCCTGGTCTCCGTGGGGGTGGTGTAGCATATATCGTATTTTTTCGAGTAGCTAAAAGGGGGAATTTTGCAGTCGCGATTGATGCAAATGCAACTGGGCGATGAGACCACTCTGCAGGGTCTGAGTAAAGTTTCAAAATCCTCGAGGACGACGGCGTGACAGCAATTGCAGAATATCTCGCCTTGGAACAGCTTCGCGGAACATTTATCGAGAATTTTGTTGCATCTGCCTAAAAAGAAATTTGTTATCTAAATGGGAAATTTTTGACACTTCAAATTTGACGTTTTTTTTGACACATGCGCGATTTAATTTTTTGTTTAAATTCATTGTATTCGTAGAATTTATCAAACTAATTAATATTATTAATAAACGCGTTTATTATTACATAAAATATAATTTTTTCAAAATTTCGACTAGCAGCGCCATCTATCATTACCAACCCGAACATACATATCGTACAATTACAGAAAACTTCTTTACCGACAAATTATATATAAAATTAGGTGAAAGTCGTTTTGATCGATTATAATATTAATTATACGACGAACAATAGAACCTTTCACCCGAATTATAAATCGTTTTCACGAGGAAAAGTAACTTACTGCATCTGAAACAGCACTTGTGCCAAACTTTGTTCATAATGATCTGGTCTTCGGCTTTGAACACGCCGCAACCGCATCGAGCGCAAGTCATTTCGAACGATATTTTTAAAGTGTTAATTTAACGTATCGGAAAATCATTTGAAGCATTGGAATTTTTGATCCGAAAGGGGGAAAATCGATGGCGAATTTTGAAAGGCCCGCGACGGCTGTCAAATCGCGCGACACTTGCGACATCTGACGGTGAACTCGTCGTACTACGAATTGACGTTTAATTGACAGCGAAATTTTGTCATAACCATGAAATAATAAAACAATCTCCTGGAAAAGAAAGTTGTTAATTTTTGAGAAAAACTCTGTGATTTGTTGGTGTTGTTGTGTTAAAGTGAATTGTATAAATGTTAATTAGGTGAGTTTTCGCTTAAAACTAATTAATCGTTTCGCGAAACGATAGTGGTGTGGGTGTTGTGTGTTCTTCACCTACAACTGCAATCCAAGTTCCAAGTTATTTATAGATTATATTTACGTTAAATACAGTGAATTTATTTACCCATTGTATTATTATCATAACAGGCAATCGGTAGGTTCGTTTTCGTTTTGAAAATCTCGACGAAATTCATAATGTTTTTCTGTGAATAACATCGAGATATTTAGTTATCATGTTTGGGTTTGAGACTGCTTGTAAGTGCCTATTTAATTAGTAAATTCACTAATTTAAATTAGTTAATAGTAAATAAGCAGTAATTTACTAATTGATTATATTTTTTCGTATCTGAGTGAGTCACATTGACCTAAAAAAAAATCGAGACTATTTTGCATATAACAATCAGTGTAGGATGTTAAAAATGTTTTATTTATTACTTGATTTTGTTGGATTTTTAATTCTACCTACCCGTTAAACTTAGCAAATCGAAACTACTGTATTTTTATCTATTATGTATGATATTAATAATAGAGATTACTCGTGGGTTATTCAATCGGAAAATAATGCATTAACAGTAAAATGTGTAATTATTTTGAATTGTAATTGAAATTTTGGCTTTTGTGGTATGATAACTATCAATTTTTAAATCGATTTATTGATTGCATCGAGAGATTAATCTAAAATTAAACTGTATGTAATTCGAACAATTTGTGGGATTTTTCATTATTCATATCTATAGATAGATTAATTTCTTTAATGTATCTCATATACTGCCAATTTTATACCAATTTCCACATGTTCTTGGCATTGCCCTTGTATCGATCAAATTATATCGTAATATATTTCCTACTAATTCGACTTTATTCTTCCTTTTTAGATAAAATGCAATGGCGAAATACACCAAAAACCAACGTCGAATTATGAAATTGTACAATACACGAGCAACTAGGTGAAATACTCGCTATACTAAAAAAAAAATGTAGTTTCTATACGAGATACGTAACGTAAACATTAAGACTGTCTAAAAGATAACAAAAATTGATCGTCGACGTCCTATTAGAGACAAATAACCTTTTATTTTTATGACCAAAACGATGGCCGCGCAAGAAGACAAAAAGAAATTCCACTGCAGAGAGTGGGCCTTCCAAAAACTGGCCCACTGCTTGGACCAAAGGCCCGTCTCTAAAACCTGCGGGGCCCTTCTACTAGGCGGTCCCGGTTGCGGCAAGACCACCCTCTGTTCGGAGCTCTGTTGGCCATCTCAAGGCCCCGCCAGCAGGCAACAGAGGGCCTTGAACAGACGGCTGTTGTGCTACCATTTCCTGCAAGGCCACAACGAGAAGAGCCTATCTCTCAGCGAATTCGTCAGATCGTTGGTGACGCAGATATTGAATCATTCCACGGAGAGCCACCGGGAGCGCAGCATCCGACGCAGGATCGCGCAGGAATCGCGCAAGGACGAATCGAACGATTGCTGTGTACCCAACGAACATCTCTACAGCAATGTATATTCGGATAAAGCGCTGGATTTGTTAGAAACTAAAACGCCACCGGTGCCCAGCCTGCCGGTGAATCCCCGCACCGTCATAGCCGACGCCTATTTGGAGAAGCTAAAATCGGATCCCGAGATACAAATAGCCCTTCGAGCGAAAAACATCGAACTGAATCCGGACGATTGCCTTAAACGAGCCCTTCTGTTTCCGCTGCTCGAAATCGATCCGCCCAAAACGTCGCTGTTCATCCTCATCGATTCCATCGACGAGCATTCCTTCGTCTATTCCAACTCCACGTTGACCAGGTGCAAACCGCGAGAGAGGAGCTCCCAAAGCAAAACCATCGCCGAATTATTGGCCAATCACCATCACCTCTTTCCCCAATGGTTGTTGTTGGTTTGCACCGCTCGCAAGCAATCGAAGAGCATCGCGAAGATGTTTACGGGTTTCAGGAAGCTGAGTTTGGACGATTTGCGCAAGTCGCAGGTGGTGCGCGACGTGCAACAGTACATTTTGGCGCGATTGGATCAGGAGAATAGCCTGAGGCAGCACATTAGCAGGGACACGGCGGAGATGTTGAACCAGTTGCACATAAAGAGCAACGGGTGTTTTTTGTATTTGGAGAAAGTGTTGGACGGCGTGTCGGATAGTTTTATAGTGTTGAGAGAGGTGAGAGAGATACCGGGCACGTTGAACGGGTTGTATTTGTGGTTGTGCCAGAGGTTGTTCAATCGCAGGCAATTCGCTAAAGTCCAGCCGCTTTTGAACGTTATATTAGCGGCGAAATGCGCTTTGAACGAGGTGCTTTTGTACGATATAATCAAAGTGTACAATCCGAAAATCGGCTCGGAAGATTTCAAAAAACGTTATCATTTACTGAAAAGAGTGGTGATCGTTTCGAAAGGGGGTACCGTGAGATTATTCCATCATTCGTTCGCCGAATGGTTGTTGGACATCAAACATTGCACGCAAAAGTACCTGTGCAACATATTCCACGGTCATTGTATATTGGCCATGTATTACACGTTGCACGCCAAAGCGTTGAACAATCAAGAGATATACGATTACGCTTTTCATTTAACGCGAATGGAACAATATTTGGGCGAGAAACCGAACCAGAAATGTCCCACGTTGGCCTGTAAATTGACCCGCGACAAGAACAACGGCTCGTCGCAGGGCGAGAACAACAGCTTGGAGAAAACCTCCACGGAGATCTACTCGGACTTGAAGGCGTTGCGGGAGTTGTCGAAAACTGAAGAGAAAGAATCGGACGGTGAGAATTTGGAAACGAGCTTCGTCGAAACGGAAACCGGCCAGAACAATCTCGACGAATGTTCGTCGAATCTCATCAAAATCGAACGACAATACGAGAACATCAAAAGTCCGGCGTCGGAGAAGAACGAGAATCCCATCTACGCCGAAATCGACAAGAGCAAAAAGACGAGGAACCAACGCGACGATGGCGTCGCGACGCCCAAAACCGCCTTCGATTTGCACACGCTCACCGTTTTGTGGATGATCGACAGCGGTTGTAACGTGGAGGAATGTCTGTTGGAGGGCAACGAAATGGCCGGCGTGAATTTCGGCGCTTTCCTGCCCACCGATCAGAAGGTGATGAAGTTGTTGCTCGAAGCCGGCGCCGTCGAGCAAATCGACGCCGATGGATGCGATTACGAGAGTCAGGTGAGCTTTGTTGATGATGAGAATTGTTTTTGAAATACATCAGAAATTCATCGTTTAAATGTTATCCAACTTTGGTGTTGTATACTTGCGATTTTTTTGGTGATGCATCGAGGTATTTTTAGAGCTTTTCTGGAAGCATTATGGTTTCTGTAATAACTCTCTAATGTCCCGTCAATTGGAATGAATGGTTACACAACCGAAAGGATAACATACGTTTAAATATGCATCGTTTAAGATGCATTGAGGAAAGTGTTTTTAAAATAGAATCGTTGCATCTTGAAGGAACATGTGCTCGTCGGAAACTTGTTAGAATGACGAGAAAAAAAAAGAACAGAAAGTGATCTCGACGAAATAAAAGCGATAACATTTCGTTCTACTTATTCTACTTATAGAAAAATTAATTCTTTAACTTAAACTATTAACTTGAAACTTTTTTTAAACAATAAAACCATCAGCCTTCGCGTGCATTCGACTGCACCGGCCTTCGCTCAATTTCAATAAGCTCGTCTCATTTCTCATCGATATGCTAAACTGTTTAAGATGAATGTAAAATCCGTAATAAAAAATAAATAATATTGACCCTACGCTCGCGTTATTTCGCAATCTTGGGTCAACAAACGAGCCGCTGCTTCCAAGGAGAACGCGTAATAACAAAAGTATTTTTAATTGTTCGGTTTCCATCGTAAAAACAGGCGAAAAAAATATATTGTGGCGCAGGAAATGTGGAATCTTGGAACAGCTGGCGTTGCGATAACGATTTGGTATAGGAGGTTCGAGGGATAATTCCTGTATCGAATTTATTTCGAATTGAATTAATTAAAAAAATTGAGCAGAATTTAACCAGATATTTCGTTGTGTGTAATAAATACAGTCGTTTAGAAAGAGCAATTAATCGGTAAACAATGAGCAGATGAGCAGAAATATGAATCAACTCGAAATTTAAAGGTATTAATTTGGATCCAGCGCCTTATCACCCTTACGCAAACATTCCATTAGTTATTAAATCCTTGTTCGAATAAACAATGCACACTTTTCGTTTAAAAATTTCGAGAATTTATGCATCACCTTAACACCTCGCGAATTTAATCATACAGCAACAGGCGGTGTAAATTTTTTTTCACCATTTTTTTCACCATTTTCACAGATGTCTTTGGCGACGACGTCCAGCGAACAGAGCCCCGAGCCCCTGTTCGATCTGCACGACATGCACGGTCAGGCGGCCCTGCACGTGGCGGCCCGATTGGGACAAGCCCAAGTCGTTAAGGTGACTAATTTTGATTCTATTATTCTATTATTATTATTGCCGAGATTGTTGTATTTATATGAACGTTTTGTAGGTTCTCTTGGAAAACGGAGCTAACGCCGATCAAGCCGATGTCGATGGTTGGACGCCACTGAGAGCGGCCGCTTGGGGGGGACATACTGAGGTAAGGTTTAGGTGTAGGTTGCCAGAGGTATCTCGAACGGTGTGCTTTATAGTACCTGGAATCGTTGTAAATGAATTGGGATATCTTTAGGTGGTAGTTCAAGTTTCCTGCTTAAAGAAACCTTGTTAATCAAAGCTGAATCATTGGTTGATTATTAATTTTTCTGCTGGAAGTAACCTTGCTAATCAAAGCTAAATCGTTGGTAGATTATGAAGGTTCCTGCTTGAAGAATCAATGCTTAATCAATGCTCTATAAAAACCCTAATCTTCTACTAAGTATAACCGATCAGGATGCCTTAAATTATCTGTAATCTTGGCAAAATAAAACCTTGCTAATCAAAGCTGAATCATTGGTAGATTATCAAGTTTTCTGCTTGAACAAACCTCGTTAATCAATGCTCTATAAAAATCCTTATCTTCTACTAAGCATAACCGATCAGGATACCTTAAATTATCTGTAATCTCGTCAAAATAAAAACCGATCAATCCCTCCGATCTCCAGGTAGTAGAACTCCTGGTGCAACACGGCTGCGCCTTGGACAGCGTCGACGCCGAACACCGGACCGCATTGCGCGCCGCCGCCTGGTCCGGTCACGAGGAAATCGTCAAGATCCTGTTGCGTCGCGGCGCCGACGCCAATTCGACCGATCACGAGGGCCGTACGGCCCTGATAGCGGCCGCCTACATGGGTCATTCGGACATCGTCGAGCACCTGTTGAACGCCGGCGCCGACGTCGATCACGCCGACGCCGACGGCAGGACGGCGCTGAGCGTAGCCGCTTTGTGCGCCCCCAGAGCGCCCGGCGCCAGCGTCGTCGCGACGCTGCTCGAACGATCGGCGACGGTCGATCATCGGGACAAGGAGGGCATGACGCCGTTGTTGGTCGCTTCGTTCGAAGGACACAAGTAATTCTATTTGTTGTGTGCTTCATCGATTGTTGTTATTATGTTTTTTATCAACAGGGAGGTTTGTGAATTGTTGTTGGAAAACGAAGCGGATGTGGATCATTGCGATCACGGTGGTAGGAGCCCTTTATGGGCGGCTGCTAGTATGGGACACGCTCCCGTGGTGGCGCTGTTGCTCTTCTGGGGTTGTTGTATAGATTCGATGGATTCCGAAGGTCGTACTGTACTATCGGTGGCTGCAGCTCAAGGTTGTGTCGAGGTGGTACGACAGTTGCTCGATAGAGGTTTGGACGAGCAGCATCGCGATAACTCGGGTTGGACGCCTTTGCACTATTCCGCCTTCGAAGGTATATACAATTCACCTGCTGCTAATTAAACGACTATATTTCATCCATCAAAGCAAAGGAGTAACTAAAAACAAGTTTAGACGCTGGATCAATGAGTGATCACCAGCGATTGGTCAGCGTAAGGAGGCTTTTTTTTTTATTTTACCTAATGTGCTTGATGATCCAGCGTCTAACCTTGTTTTGGTTACTCCGGATGAAGTATAGAGTTCGTTATTGTGATATATTTCTCTCGTAGGTCACGTGGACGTTTGCGAGGCTCTGTTAGAGGCCGGTGCGAAGATCGACGAGACGGATAACGAAGGGAAAGCGCCATTGGCTTTGGCCTCACAAGGTGGTCATACGGCTCTCGTGAATTTGTTTATAGATAGATACAACGCGCCTGTAGATCAGAGACCTCACGACGGAAAGACCGCTTTGAGATTGGCCGCTCTGGAAGGTCACTACGATATAGTACAAATCCTGGCGTCGCACGGCGCCGATTTGGATTCCAAAGACGCCGACGGTAGAAGTACTTTGTACGTACTAGCTTTAGATAATAGATTAGCCATGTCGAAGTACTTCGTACAGCAAGGAGCCGATGTGGAAACCAGAGATTTGGAGGTAAGAGTTTGTACGACTGGTAAAGACGATAATTAATTGGATTTATATTTCGTTAGGGTCGAACACCTCTACACGTATCCTCTTGGCAAGGACACACCGAAATGGTATCGTTGTTGCTCGCCTACGGCAAAGCCCAAGTGGACGCTTGCGATGCGGAAAATCGAACGGCTTTACATTCGGCCAGCTGGCAAGGCCACGGGGACATCGTCAAGTTGCTGCTCGAACACGGCGCCGTGCCGGATCACACTTGCAATCAAGGCGCTACCGCTCTAGGTATGTATCTAACGATCTTCGATCTTCCTCTGAGCACCATCTCGAGCTAGTGATCAATGAAGACTCGATAGATGTAATGCAGGATGCTCTAGATGAGCTCTATCCGGGTGATGATTGTTCGTTTGTGCGCAGGTATAGCGGCGCAAGAGGGTCACGAGGCGTGCGTGGTGGCTTTGTTGGAGTACGGAGCGGATCCGAATCATTCGGACGCCTGCGGCAGGAACGCTTTGAGAGTGGCCGCCAAATCGGGTCATCGAGGTGTGGTGAAATTGTTGGAGGATTACAACGCCAGGTCGCACAAGGTGGCTCATACGAGCAGCAGCGCCAATTCCATTACGTCGGGTAAAATATATACAGCGAGATTGGTGTGTAGTAGTATAATTGGGATGTTGTTTTTTTGTGTAGCTTCGACTGCTGAGACTAAACCGTCTTGTGCTATATTGTATCCTACCGGGGGTACGAGCGATTGGTCGGATCAACAGAGACGATCGATGGTGTCGTTGGGAAATCACAGTTCGAATTCCAAGTCGAGTTCGAATCTGACGGGATCGAGCCAATCGAGCAGGCACGGCGATAGGCCGAGGGAAATCGTACAAACTACCACACAGGTGATATAAATTTGTTATACTCTATTCGGCCAACGCGTGGAGTAATAAATCATTTTTGCGCAGATGGTAAGAAACATTTTACAACCCGTTTTAAACGACTAGAATTTACAGACCATTCATAAATAGGCGTCAATCCTGTACTTAGTAATGCGCCACTAGAAAATGACCTGCGTTAATCTGTCCGAAAATCGTAATTTTATTACTCCGCGCGTTGGTCGAATAGAGTATAGAAAAGTGAATCGGATCGTTAAAAATGATTTTTTTTTTGTAGCCTCTGTCGTTTACGCAACAATTACAGCAATGCACGAGAGGCGGTAAAACGCGCCCGTTGAGCAAATTATTATCGCCGTTGCAAAGCGAACCGCAGAGTCCCATCTACGCATCGCCCCCTTTGAGTCCCGTTAACGATACGCCCAACGTTTTCGGTAAATTAATCGAAACATTTATCTAACGAAATAACGGTAGGAGTTAATCGGATGCGGTTTTTGTAGATTCGTTCTTGGGCGCGATGAACATCTACCAGCCGGTGTTGAGGCACAACAATTTCGCGAAGGCGCCGGACACGCATTTCGCGCGCGACACCCACATGCGCATCATCTTGGGCAAGGAGCGTAGACCGGAGGCGGCGACGGCGGAGGCGGCGGCGGGTAATCAGAAACCGAAGAGGAACGGGATCGTGACGAATCCGGCGCTGCGATTGGTGGCCAACGTGAAGAACGGCTTCGATACGGCGGCGGCGAATCTGAGGAAATCGACGTCGGGCGCCAATCCGGCGTCGAAGACCAACAGTTTTCATTGGAGGAAGGAGACGCCGTTGTAAATGGAGGCCGGGGGGGGGGGGGGTTTCGTGGGAACTAGTCAATAACGTGGTGAGTTTGGCCCGCTGTTCATGGAGCAACCCAAATGCAACTATTTTCCAACCCAAATGCAACTGTTTTACAACTGATTTGCAACTCAAATGCAACTGATTTGCAACCCAAATGCAACTGATTTGCAACCCAAATGCAACTGTTTTGCAACTCAAATGCAACTGGTTTGCAACTCAAATGCAACTGATTTGCAACCCAAATGCAACTGATTTGCAACCCAAATGCAACTGATTTGCAACTATTTTGCAACTCACACGCAACTGATTTGCAACTCAAATGCAACTGATTTGCAACTCAAATGCAACTGTTTTGCAACTCAAATGCAACTGATTTGCAACCCAAATGCAACTATTTTGCAACTCAAATGCAACTGATTTGCAACTCAAATGCAACTGTTTTGCAACTGTTTTGCAACTCAAATGCAACTGATTTGCAACCCAAATGCAACTATTTTGCAACTCAAATGCAACTGATTTGCAACTCAAATGCAACTGTTTTGCGACTCAAATGCAACTGGTTTGCAACTCAAATGCAACTATTTTGCAACTCGAATGCAACTGATTTGCAACTCAAATGCAACTATTTTGCAACCCAAATGCAACTTATTTGCAACTGGTTTTGCAACTATTTTGCGACCCAAATGAAACTAGTTTGCAACCCTAATGAAACTAGTTTGCAATGAGTCATAAACCAGTTGTACCCGACCATTTCCCGCGGTCGCAGTCGTTTTGCAGTTTCAAGTTGCCCTAAATTCTTGCCAATTTCTGGTGTGATTCATCCGACATTCGATAAATTGCTTTATAAATCGATAAGGCTATCGGAGCAACTGTTTTGAAATAAAAATTGTAACCAGTTGATCTTGCAATTATTTTGCAACATCGGCAATTTTTTACTTACATTGAATTCTTTTATTGATTGTGATTTTTTTTTTCAGGTTTTAAACTCGACTTTAAACAATTAAAATGAACAATGCTAATATAACACTCACCTAGTCTTGCATATATCAAAGAAGATAATTTTTAATGAGAATTTATTTAGTTTATACATTTTTTTTTTGTTTATTGATAAAATCTCATCACATTTATAATTTTTTAAGTATATTTGTTCGGCCTACGTTTTACTTCGACGATGTGTAAATATGTTTCGATTTTTTTTGTGATAGCTTAGTATTTAAATTAATTATTAAGAGTTTTAGGGCGTTTTAGGGTGATTTTTTTTTTGTTTTGTAGTGTTTTATTAAATGTGGCGTAGTAGGCTGTATTTGCCAATTTCATATCTCTTATCGACTGAAATTTTCAATTCTCTCTATTTAGAACAATTTTAAGAGATGTTTCTTTGGCGAATAAAAAAACGTAACGAAACACCAATTATGAAATTTTCCTCGAATGAAAATGAAAAGTAATATTTTAAGGCAATATAAAATTTTGTTCCGAGTAATTATTGTTCGTGATGTAGGGTGAATTTATTGTTGTTAAAACGTAAAGAAAAAAGCGAATTATATTTCTTCGAAGTTGCAGCCGTAGAAATTCAATTACTTTTAACAGCTTCCATTGATTTTTGATTGATAACAAAATGGAGTTGGTTCGAAAATAACCCAAAATAAACGCCCTTACCAGAGTTAGATCTCAATCTTGCAAGAGTACCGAGGCCTAATAGAGAAACTTTAATGAAAGAAGCAATAAAAATGAAGAAATGTCTTTAATAGGACTTTTTTCGAATCACCTCAATAAGATTTACGCGTTCGTAATATATTATGTAAGTTTTCCTTTTTTTTTTGTAGCATTTTTCTATTTACATATATTTATTTACAACATGCGTGTGTCCTAAACTAATTTGCGTTTGAATAAGATTTGTTTTAAATTTTCTCGCAATAAGAAAATCGACATTCAAATGCAAATGTAGCCCTCGATGGGGGGAGAATAGAATTTACCCTGTAATATCAATTATATTATAATGCCTTTTTGTATTTATACAAAGCTTTAGTTTTATACAGTTTAAACTTGTGCACTGTATATGTTGAAACAGTATTAAATAAAAAAATATTTAAAATATACTCGACGGCGTTTTAAAGATTTAACACATTTATTGATCGACTATTAGCTACGAAACCTACAACACTTGAGTTCATTTATCATTTTCAAAATCTGCTGGGTTCTTCAACATTAATTTATGGTGCTCTTTTTCCGCTTGATCTATGATTATGTAAGCAATTGCTAGAGCTAAACAAGAAACGTTATTCATTAGAAATCATCAAAACTAATGATCTATCGTAATGGATACTCACGAGGAACAACATAAGGAGCTTGCTCTAATATTCTACGTAGACTATTGAAGAAACCATGGGAAATGATGCCTTTGAAGACCTTCTGTTCAAAATGGGATATTCTGTACGTAATAATTCCCCTTAGCTTGTACAATTCTCCAAATCCTTTAGCCATGATTGCACCTGTAATAAAGAACTATTATGTAACGTGCAATCCTTGAAAATACCCTTTTAATATTAACAAAGTGATGAGTACGTAAAATATATACAATAAGAACATACTAACCCTTGTGTATTTACTATTATTTGTAAGGAATCGCTCGATTAATGAAAATTAATTGTTGTAAAAGTTTTAATAGGGTTCCAATGACAGTACTGACAATTGACAGTTTCTCTTCTTACTGCCAAACGAGTCACATCCATTGACCTACTAGGAAACGTAATAATAATTTGGAACTAAAAAGAAGAAATATCACAGAACATACATAAACAAGAAGGGACATCTCCGTGAGAATTTCGTAGACGTTGTAGAGCGCACCCTGAGAGCAACGGCAGATATTAAACGGTTAAACGGTAATGGATGTTGCATAGTAAAGAGAGGATTCTATATACACAGTCGTGTAATACTGGTTTTCTATTCGACTTTTTTCTTTTTCTTGCTCATAACCAATTTCTTGTAAAACTTGTACAATTTATTAAACTATGTATATTTAATAATTATATAAAATTCTTATACGTTTTAAGAATTATATATAATTTTTAAATATAGACATAGTACAATAAATTGTACAAGTTTTACAAGAAATTGAATATCGAAAATAATAACTTTCACATATAAATTAACGACAAAAACGTTCATTTTAAAAAAATATATTTAAAAAACATACAAATTTGCGGATTTCAAATTAGATATTAACTAATTCAATGTAAATTAATACCTATACATATGTATATTAATATAAATACAATACACGACTTAAATAGTACAATATTAAAATAATTTTTCATAATTTTAAATGTAAACCTACATATTATGAATAATAATTTAGACTTTGGCCTATTAACAATAATTAACAATAATTAACAATAATTAGTTTACAAACCTTTTTTCTGAGAAATCCAGTCGTTTTATATCGGTGGCTCGAATCATCGAACCCAATAGAACAATCTCCATTTTCTGTAACAAAAAATAAGCAATTAATATAAATGAAATTGATATTTGGGTTTAAATTATGTACTAATTAATGTTAATTATATTTACCTAGCAAAGAAAGCATCACACAGCAATCTTGTCTGATTTCAAAACTTCCAATGATTGGAAATCTGCTTTGGAAAAATGGCGGTCGACGACGCTGCAACGATTTCTAAGTCTTGTAGCAATAGAATGGTAGAATCACGTTAACATTACACAAATAATTTATAAAACTCACAGCGAATACCAAAGCACTTTTTATAATAGTCGATAGTCGATAACTAACAAGAGTTGGAAGGAATATTTATTCGGTTGTATTTCAAATTTCAAAATACTTCGAAGTGCATGTTTTCAAAAATCGTTAATAATGATCTACGGCATGTTGCGCGGGTTGCTTGCGCTGTTTCTTAAATAAACGATCGCCGCGCCATCTCTACTCATTGGCACGAACTAAATTTAACGTCGAAATTTTCCCATAAGGCTGTCCTGGGCCTGAGAAATATTATACGTGAAGCCATCTATTTCTTTTTATGTTAAACAGTTCTATGTCTTCTACAGTTTTCTGTTATCAAAACCTCCTACGTGGCGCTATCTGTTAGTCAGTAACTCAAATTTTCACTAAATGTTTGTTCGTTTGTATAACAGTGCTACCACAAGTGCTTTCCAAAAATAAAAAAAAACCCCATACACTGCCTTCGCCTAATGGTAAAGTTAGGTTAGAAAATTTGTTTGAAATAAATTTAAAATATTAGTAACACTGAAAGAAAAAAATGCCCATAGCTCAGGTATGTTTAATGCTATCATATTCTTCTATTCACTTTCAGTATGTAAATTCAAATTGTTCAGATTTCCTGCGATCCGATTATAGTAAACCCCAAATTACAATTACCTATTATCAAATTCTTCTAGATTAATTGAAACCACTAAAATTATTTAACAATGGCGAACGGAATTTCCAGTGAATTAGAAGACTTGTACGATTTCTTTAAGGATTACATTAACAACGAAGACGGTGAATGTAACACCCCGAAAGAACAACAAAATATCGAAATGAACATCGATCAGAATCCCACTCAAGAACAAAACGCATCGAAACCGATTTGTTCGAACAATTACAATACGAACGATCCCAAAATTAAGGCCATCTTACACATTCAAACGTTAAACTCCATTATTACTTGTTTAATTCTAAATAAACCTTAAGTCAAATTGTTATAGTATAGTATGTAAGTTTGTAAATTAAATGAATTGTTGTTTCAAGTTGTCGGGAACCGAAGTTGGCAAGGACAACGATAAATCGAAAACGTTCGTTTTCCAAGACGAAGGCCATACTTTAGGAAACGCTCTCAGATGCGTCATATCCAACTAGTGAGTATAAAATATTTGCGTATTTATTTATAAATGTAATAATAATTTTAATTATATTTCAGTCCGGATGTACAATTTTGCGGTTACACAGTTCCACATCCGGCCGAATCCAAAATGCACTTTCGAATCCAAACGTACAACGGCAAAGCCATCGAGGCGTTGAAAAAAGGTTTGGAAGATTTAATGCAATTATGCGACATCACATTGGATAAATTCAATCACGAATTAGCCAGCTCGTAAAAACGTTCGTTTAGTTCTAACCGTTCGAATGCCAATTTTGTAAGTTTCTAATATAATAAAATAACAAGTTACATACCTTATTAACGAATGTAGAGTTCGAATTAGAATCAATCGGTCTTGACGTATTCGATACCGGGAATCTTGGAATCGTCGACCGCCTTGCTGGCCAACGATTGTATGTAATTCTTCCGATCGATGCGCGCCTGCGCCAACGCCTGCCTCTTCGGCCGGATTCAGCATCACCAATCGCGGATCCATCGTCATCCAATCCGAACCGATCACCTGCTCCAATTTGAACCGTTTCTGTATGTCGGGCTCCAGCATGTGAGTGATCAGATTCTTTATTTGATCGGATAGAACGTCCACCACCTTGGAGCGAAACTTCCACTTGCGCTGCAACTGTAACTCGTTCAATTTCTTGGCGTTGGTGTCGTCGAACGGCATCGCTTTGTTCACCATTATGTACAGTATGACGCCCATCGACCTGATGAATTAATTTTTTGAAATGGATCTTTTATTGTGAGTAGAGGGCTTACCAAACGTCGGCGGTTTTGGGGAAATAGGGCGAGCCCTTGAGTACCTCGGGGGCGGCGTATGATAGGGAGCCACAATAGGTGGCGCTGTTCATTTTCCTGCCGCTCTGATCGACAACGAACCGTGCGAAACCGAAATCGGCCAATTTGATGTTGTAGTTGTTGGTGATGAGGCAATTCTCGCACTTCAAATCCCGATGGGCTATTTCCATTTCGTGCAAATATTGCATGGCGAGCGCCAATTGCCTGAACCACACGCGGCTCTGCGCCTCCGAGATCGGTCCCTTTTTCAAAATGTACTCTGGAATAATTAAAATGGACGCAAAAAAAATCGATATGTATATCCGTTTTATACCTAACAAATCGCCATTTTCGGCGTTCCTCATGAAAATGTAATACTTGTGCTTCCTTTGAAATATGCTGTGCACGTGAATGATATGGGGATGATTGACTCTCACGAGTATGTCCAATTCCCTCGGCAGGAATTTCCTCACGAAATCCTTGGGGGCTTTGCTCACGTCGATGATTTTGCAGGCGAGAAATTTGCCGGTCTTGTCCCTGTCGGCATTGTCGCCGGTAAATTCGGCCAGGAACACCTGGGCGTACGAGCCTTCGCCTAATTTCTGCAATAGATGGTAGCCTTTCGAAGATAATGTCGCTTCTTCTGATTCTCTGAGCGAGAGACCAGGTGCCATGCCATTTTAAGTTTTCACGAGAATTTTGAGCATTTCACAGGACGAGAAAAACTAACCTTATTGCGTTGCCATTATATTCTATTGGAATTGTCATTTTTTTTTCGAGACTTTTTCATCGTTTCTGACGTCCGCCAAATCGCTCGCTCTTGTTCCAACGATTCGATTCCTTTTATTCCTTTGTCGTATAAACCAACCTTTAAATAGGACCTGCTTTATTGTATTCATAGACATTATAACTGAGAGACCAAATTGTATACATTTTTTTGTAGTAAATATATGTAAGGTAAAAATTAAAAAAAACAATATTTATTCAAAGAAATATTAAAATTGTAAACATCCGCGTAAATACGGCAACGTTGCGACCTAAATTATAAATTTAACCTATTTAAAAAAAATGACAAGTGACAGGTGTCATCATCGTAACGTTCTTAGTAAGTTTTAACAGTTATTTTGTGTTTGTATGCATTTTTTTTTTTATTTATTTCAAGTTTTTTTAAATAACTTTTGTTAAAAATGCAAACAATAATGATACATGTGTGTGTAGTGTGCAAAAAAATGGATCATTTCAATCCAGTTTTGTCTTTTCACCGGTAAGTAAAGTTATGTTATAATCGTTTTCATTTGAACCAGCTAGTGAGTTGGGGCACCCGATATTCATTTAAAAATCGTTATACCAATCAAATTTAAGGTTAAAATGAACTATAAAAATGTGAAAATGATTCATTTCGTTCAAAACTTTACGCCACTGGCGATTATAAAGACACTTTGATTACAACGTTGCCAGTTGGTTACAACAGATATGTTTCTCTATCTGATAGGAACAAAATAACTTTCTACACAATTTTTAGTAATTCCGTATATTTTATTTACAATTCCGTTTGAATACAATGTGAGTACTGCTCCAAAGAATAAATAAGTTACCTCTTCCACACCTCTCCGATCGCGGATTAAAACTCTTTATTTACATAAAAAAAATATAACATAAAAATTAGCATGTTTTTTAATTAAATCCTACAAACAACGCGGCGGAGTATATTCATTCACAAATCGTAAGATTCTTCCTTGTGCACCTTGAAGAGGAGCCTGTAGAAAGCGGCGGCCACAGCCGCCCCCAATAGAGGTCCCACCCAGTAAATCTACAAAATATTTACCATTATATATTCGATTTAAACAACCAATTTACTCACCCAATGGTCCACCCAGGAGTTCATGATAACAGCAGGACCGAACGAACGTGCCGGATTGATGCTCGATCCCGTATATTGTATCTAAAACGCCCAAATGTATCAATAAATACAACAAACTGGGAATTTATCTAAATCTAATGTGCGAAATTACCCCGCAGAAATGCGCCGCCGCCGCCGCCAAGCCGATCGCCAACGGAGCGGATCCTTTCACGTCCTTCCTGTAGGAATCGCAGACTCCGTGAATGACGAATATCAGCAGGAAGGTCAGGACCGCCTCCATCAGCATCCCCTGCACGGCGGTCATTTCTTTGTCGCCGATGGCGGTCACGCCGAATCCGCCAACTCTCGAATCCGGTACTATTAACTGCAATGTTACATCCATTACATCAGGTAAGTGTCTAAAGTTAACTAACAACAGGATAACTGTATTTAAATGGAATTGCCTCTGTATGGCAATTCCAGCGAGGCGGTTACTTACTTTTAATAATCCCGATCCCCCGATTGCTCCGACGCATTGGACGATTACATAGCAAATGGCTTTTGCTAATTTAATGTCGCCGGTTAAAAGTAAACTGAATGTAACGGCGGGGTTTATGTGACAACCGCTAATGTGGCCGATTGCCTGGAAAAAAAATACCCCGAAATTAATAAATCTACTTCTTCTGCTTCGTTTGAGCCTCGACTGCGAAGGCTGTTCGGTTTAAAAATGAGGAAATTTAAAGGTTGAAATGATCAGTCATTGACGGTTGAGAGATTATTTAATAACCTGCAGAGACTTTCTACTTGTTAGGCCTTTAATAATAAATATTACATGAGGAATGTTCAATTAGGTACTACATTATGTTACGATTTTTTTGCTTTATTTGTTTCACCTCTAAATATACCCTACAATGTACATATGTAATTTACAATTAGAAGAGCAAATATTACAATTCGCGGCGTAGAACAAGGTTGAGGAGATAATTTATCATCGAGAATATAAAATTGATAAGGCGCTATTAGATTTCGAATGTAAACATCAATCTCGACAGTTTTAATATACGACCCGCTAACCTTTATTTTATTAAATTTTATTTGCCGTGTGCTCGAACGATAAATAAAAAAAATGTATAATAGTTTATGAACGATTAATTAATGCGTGACCGGATTTTTTCATTGCATATTATTTATTATATTGCGAATCGGCTTCCTCTCTTGTGTTATGTAAAGAGAACTCCGTCGAAATAAAAAAACGGATTTAATTGCTGGGTCCGAAATTGTCGGGCTAATTTTATTGTGTTTGTTATATCTATGGAAAATATTTTTATGTGGTCCCATTTAAAAATGGGAAATTAAAAGTTGTTTTCGCTTCGTAAATTTTATGTATTTTTGATGCAGTTTTTAGACTTTTGAAAACCGATTTATTTTGATAATAAATTCGCGAAATATGAAACAAATACTGGTTTAGTTTTTTTGGAAGATTTTAGTAGCTTGCTGAATAATTATAAAAGCAATTTGATAAAAGTAACATAACAAACAATTTTCGTCCTTGCAATAACAAAATTCCTATTCAATTATCATTCAATGCACAAAGTCACCACCGTACAATAAATTGGAAGTTAATTCAAACAGGTCAAATAAATCGATAATAATTATATCATTTTCCGTTGGGACCTTTTTTTGTTTTTTTTTCTTTCAACATATACTAATTTATTTTATTGGTATTAATGATGTTAGGACATTTATCGATATCGATAAGAAACGTATTTGTATTAATTTGTTCAATAATCTCTATTAGCATGTTTAGCACCGACTCGTGAAACACCAACTGATATATTAAGATTGTAAATAGGAAGAGAACTTTGTTATATTTGAACTATTATTTTTTTAAATTTATTTAAATTTTTAAAATGTAAGTACAGGATGCAGGAAATATTAATGCCTGTTTCTACCAGCACAGACTAGTTTATTGTATTGAAATAATCGAAATAGTATTAAATTTCTATTGTAGTTAATTTGATATCAACAATTTCGTGATTCTTATCAATTATAAACGATAATTACGAAATAATTTTAATGATAGTTAAAAGCGTGTTTGTACTCAAACACATCAATTTACCTAAAAGCAATGTTGATCAAAATTACAAGTACCTTTACACATTTACCTATCAATTTTCGAGGAAAAAAAAAAACATATTTTTCTACAAACCTGAGCCAGAGTTGCTATAGTCAATCCAAAGGTGAAACCGATTCTAACATATGGTACTACATCGGTGGTGGGTTCCCCCATGTTAATACAAGAACCGGTGCCGATGAGTACCAAAACAAAGGTACCCAAACATTCCGCTACCAAAGCCTTCCAAATGTTCTTATTGCTGAATTCATTAACGCCGAGAATGCCGCTAGATGCATCATCTGAATAGAAAAAAATCATCAAGTATTATTAAACTGGAAAAATTTCAAATAAATTGCGGAAATATACTTCCTGAATTAAATAGAAGATAATAAGGGTGTTTTTTTTTCTTTTTTTTTTTTCGGAAACGTATTATTACCGTCCGAATCGGAATCGACGCTGCGATTGGCCTTATACTTAAATATCAGCCATTCGAAACATTTCATTCTCAGTCTGTCCGCATAGAATGTGTGAAACGGCTCCTTGAACACGGCATCTCCCTCGTGGAGCATAAAAATTTCTTAAATCCGACACATACAAATCGAAAATTTCCGCCTAAACGTTTTTAGGACCCCCACTGACAGCGCCCAACTAACCAAATTTGACAAAAAAAAATCAATCTCGAACTAGACATTAGACACTAGACATCGTAAATTTTGAAATGTATTTCCTAAATATTGTCAAAAATTGTTTTGGAGTTCATAGTACAGTGTGTCCCTAGATCAGAAATTAATTCATTGGGATTTTTTATACAGAACGACTTTTCTTAGCAAAATTAAACTATTCAAGGGACGCACTGTATAAAATGACTAGTATTACCTTTAAACAATTTATATAAATTAACCACTTCTGCTCGTGGGAAAATTCTCAACACACACACTCTAACAAATTTATTCCCATTGTCAAAAAAACAGTCTAACAAAAATCGTTAACAAGAAAATAGCATGTTACAATTTATTCCGGTTACAATAAAATTAATTTAAAAACTCAAACCTTGCTCGACCTGATAGCGATTCTTCGTCGGTACGATTATTTCATCAGCCATTTGTGCAAGAAATCTACAAACTAACTATTATTTTGCTCTAATTGTGTTGACGATTTATTTACAAAAAAAAATTATCTTCTATTTGCTACTCGTTGTTTGCTCAACAAATCTCGTTGAAATCCAATAACAAATTTGCTCCAATTCCAAACAGTTCTTGCTCAAATTTTTCCTTTTATAGGATTAATTTCAATCACACCCCAACACCGAATTGTATATACAGTGCGAGTAAAAAATGACTTGCCTCTGATATAGGATGTCCTTTGAGAAGACACGATCACAGTGGGTTTGTGGCTCATTTCGACACTTCCTAGCAATAAACTAAACCGCAATCGACTGAAGTCGAAGAGAAATATGAAGCAGCTATTAAGAGAACAGGTATAGTTGAATATTTCTAAACGTGGAAATTATCTCGACATCGATGATCGAATCGAAGAATCGCGGATTGTTACTAATTTCGACGTTGTTTTGTACCGATTTATTGTGGAATAACGAAGGTCGGACATGCTTCTGTGTGATTGTGTTCTCGTTATTAATATATCTAAATCTACGATTGTTCGTTTTTTTCGATTTCGTATGTAATCTCTCCCGTAAATAGATTACAATGTGAGATTTTTGTCGAAGCGAAATTCGAATTTACGCTGTTCTAATTAATTGTATTTGCTTGTACCTAATCGACGGAGTTTTTATGATTAGAGTAACAAGCGTGTGTACTTGTTTATCTGTGAAATGATTCGTACGTTAATTAATTAACTTGTTGTGTAATTAAAATTCTTGTTGTTATTTTTCGTATTAGATGGTTATTAGATATGTGTATCATATACCGTTTTAAATATTACGTCATATTAGAAGATATTAAATTAAATGCTGTAGGAGTACCTGTGTTATACCTGGAGGCTATTTTGCAGTCATTGTGACTAATATCATTAAAATTAATTAATTTAGTAATGCATTCAAATGTGACTAAGTTTCTTATTAAATGTATCGATACAATTCCTCGGTATTAAATCGACGATTTTTAATAGGAATTTCGTAATTTTTTACATTTTTTTATATTCAAAAACGTTTCTGAATCATCCTGTGTTTTTTTTGTTGGAAATTCCAAAATTGCATAAAATCGCGATAAATTCGAATGTTTCAACCAAAACAAATTTAAATCAATCACGATTGTATTTACCTATTTATTCGCCTTAAAAATAAAGCGAGTTCCATTATAATACAATAAAAATTTAAAATGCAAATACGGCCGTTAAATTTATATGTTTTCGCTAAAAAAAACCGTTTTAAAAACGATCAATGCAAACATAAATCGATAATGGAAGTCTAAGTATCCGAATCGTTTTAATCGAAGGAACAAACAAAAATCCGCTGGAATTGGAATTGTACAAATTAATCGAATAATAGAAGCTTGATCGATATCTAAATAACGTCCATGTTTACGTAACCTTCGAGAAATAACGAACGTAAACGTGTTTTGTTTTATATGAAGAGTAATTGTATGGAAATGTTAACTACAAACTACAAAAAGACCGACGTAGGAAGATTTTACTGAAGATGTTTCTTCAAATTATTCGTTTATTATCTTCTCGACGTACGACACGTTAGTCCAAGGCCATTTTTCCATATATTGTGCATTGCATTCTAATTTAGTAGAAAATTTTAGGAAAAAAATTATGACCCTTTCACGTCTACTATTCTCTAGTTGAATTTATAACACCTGCAAGGCTCGTGCTGGTAATAAAATCGTAAAAATCTTGTGATGTGTAAATGTATGCCATTCCAATAAATCAGATCCACGGTATTTGCTAATTAAATCGGAGTAATTATTACTCGGAAGATAATTATTTCTAAGTACCCATTTTCTTGTTGTTACTGAAAAATTTTCCTCTACCCCATCGAAAGCAATTATCGTCTTTAAACTAGCAAAAAAAAATGCGTTCTCGGAAAACGAAACACGATGAAATAATTTTCGATGGAAATTCCGAATAAAAAGCGCAATTACACCGCCAGATGAGCACGCTTAATGGTTTTCTAATTGAAAAAAATTGCTAGAAAAGGTGTCATTGTGCAGCTCATTTCGTCGATGTAATTTTTTTTTTGTTCTGCTTTAAAGCGTATTTCCTACGAATGTAATTCGTCGTGTCGCTAATTAAAATCAGATTACAGAAACGGAACTGGAGGTTTGTTCGAAAATAAATTGATAACTTGTAATAATAGTGGTATTATAACGAGATTATTATCTCAATTTTAGCTGATTATTTTATCAATGGGTCATATAGTAACTTAGGGAAAAATATAATTTTATACTATTTAAATTATAGAATTATGTATACGAAATTTTAAGTGGGCCCTTGACATACTTTTTGGGTGGACTTTACAAAGCCATATATTATCTGGAAATAAATCACGGCGCTTATCGAGCTTTCCTTTTGATAAAATCCAATAATTGTGCTTTATCAAAATTTGTTTTACCATTAATATTCAACGCCTCCGATGCATTTCCCGGTGTATTTATTTAGGGTTTATGCAAAGTGCACTTACATAAGTAGAGAAGAATAATTCGTTGGAGTTAATTGTTTGTCGTTATTATAACCATTCATAATGAATGATCAAAGTGTTGCTCATACAAAGTGCTATATTAATTTAATTATTTGTTTGAGGCAGGTAGGTTTGATAAAGGTAGAGAAATATGAGTTTTTTTTGGATCGATTATAAAGGTTTTTTGTTGCATTATAAATGCCTTTTTGGATTTAAATCGATCGAAAAAATGCAATAAGCTACAACATTTTAAAAAGTTAATTGTTTGTCGTTATTATAACCATTCATAATGAATGATCAAAGTGTTGCTCATACAAAGTGCTATATTAATTTAATTATTTGTTTGAGGTTTGATAAAGATAGAGAAATATGAGTTTTTTTGAATCAATTATAAAGGTTTTTTATTCCATTATAAATGCCTTTTTGAGTATTGCAAATTTTAAATCGATCGAAAAAATGCAATAAGCTACAACATTTTAATAAAATACTGATAACAACCAACAATTCGATAATCCTATAATAAACACTCCCACGTTATCCTCGTAAATTTCCAATTTTTAATCAAAAAATCAAAAAACTCTAACCCTCTTGTTAATGTCTAAATTAAAAAGTAAAACTCACCAGTTCGACCCATTTTCTCAAAAAAAAAAAACAAAAAACTTTGCGCACCTCGCTCTTCGAAAATCGAACTTTATCTGAACCCCCTTCGACCCAATAAACAATTTTTATATCTTATTGGAACGCTTGGAAAACCGCCGGAGCGCTGACGATTGACGATGCTTCTCCGCTTTACGGATATTATTCTAGTATGTACTTGCGATATTGTTAAATTCGGTCCTCGAATAACCATTATTTTTTTTATCTAGAAAATAGCTCGATGGAGCAGGGACGTCTCCAGTGCTCGAGCACACACTTCTCATTTTTTTTTTCAATCCATCGATAATAGAAGGGACATTTGGGGATCTCATTTTCGCAAATAATAAAAGAAAAGGCCCTTCCTCGGGCTAACCCATAAATAGAGCTTCTATCGGTGGCAGTTCTATTTACTCTATTTACTAATTAATCCGGACCTGTAATTCGTGTACTTATCTCTACTATATCACTATTACAATCGTTCGTAAAAAATCAAAATCTCCGTTTGGTTTACTCGCTACTTTTACAAAATCAAATACGACCAGTAGTAACTACAATGTTTGCTGATGTAAAGATAATTATGCCTACTTGTGGGTTGTGATAAGAAAGATTTTTTGATAAATCTCGGTTTATATAATGCCAATTACGTTGAAATGTTGGCGAAATAATTGGACGAGCATGTCGAAATGTCGCGAATTTCCATTCGTTATTAGAATTTAACAAATTTAAACCGGTTTAAAAGTCCATCCTGTATATACTCATTGAAAACTATACATGAATGAAATTGTGTAGGCACGTGGAAGAGTACCAGGATCGATTTTACACCTCATAAAATTATTTATAAATCTCTACGGATATCAAATTTGAAAAAAAAAAAATATTAAAACTCCACTGTTAATACATTTTGCATCGTTAATTCGAACGTCAAAATCTTTATTGACTTACACGAAATATTGGATTTTCATCAACCATTAATCGAGTAATGTATAATTTCCTTTGTATATATTCTAGAGGAAAATCAAAAACGTGTATACAATAATCTTTATTGCACGTTGCATTCATTTACGAATTTACGAGTCGACGATCATTTAAATAATCTAATTCAAAAGCCGAATTATTCAATTTACCAAACAAAAGGGCGTTTAATGATCGTTTTTCTACAACATAATCACGAATTATGCGATTGATAACGTCATCGTGTGATTAAAATGAATATATTGTGGGTTTTCTTTTTTCATGCTGAAAGATGTTCGTTATCGATAAGAGGGAGAACACGCCGATGCGCCCTTAAATTTTCCCCTTTTCCCGATTTGACCGAATTTTCCCGAGTTTCCCGGCCGATGAACTAGATAAACAGCCGCTCTGCGGCCAGAAAGGCAGTATTTCCCGGTGAATTTTCCCGGCCCGATAGCGACATGGTTTTGCGTGGAAAAGGCGTCAACGCCTCTGTGGATTCCATTCGGAAACGATTATTTTAGGTAAATTTTTATACGAATTAATCGGGTGGAATTTTAGTGATTTTTTTGTAATTGTTTTTCGGGGTTTTAAAAGTGTTTTTTTCATGGTTTTTGCGGTTTTTTTATACCATCGAATTCTCTATTTCTACGACTATATTTCATGACTTTGTGTTATTGTTTTTTCGGCGTTTTAAAAGGATTTTTGATGTTTTTTTTTGCATTATTTGTTACCATCGAATTTTCTATTTCTACGACTATATTTCATGACTTTTGTGTTATTGTTTTTCGGGGTTTTAAAACGGGTTTTTTCATGTTTTTTTTTGCATTTTTTATACCATCGAATTCTCTATTTCTATGACTATATTTCATGACTAAATTTTAAAGGAATTTTTGGGATTCGAAACCTTCTAAAACGCGTCACGACAAATCGAAAATTTTCAGGTAAAACCGTTTAAAAATTACCACGAAAATTCTTCGCAAATATTTTTTAAAACATTGAAAACTATTTTTAAATCTCGAAAATGTTATTGTCTCGATTAAATGCAGTAAAATTCTTCGATAAAAACATTTCGCTTATAATTTAAATAAATATGCTATCTACTTTATTTTTCCACAAACATTCCTCTTCGTTATTTTTCCGAAACGATACGGAAGTCAAATCGCATATTACAACGTAATTATCACGTTATTAAATTAATTTAAAACCCTTTTAAAAAAAATACTCGCCCGGCGTTCGTTTTAGTTGTTTTATTTTCCAATTTGAATCTGGTATAAATATCGATTATACATCCAATTATCAATACGTTAACTGGATTACGGAATGTTTCACACATTTTCGGAAATTTACGGGAATTCAACGCTATTTTCACAGCGTTTCTTGCAATTAGATTATCCGCAATTATTCTACTTAAAAAAGTATGAAATTTTTTTTACAGATCAATCCACTTCCCCCATTCAACCGAATGCATCCTGCATCGATCAACCGCCAATTCCCCATCGAAAAATGCACCGAAAACCATCCACCAGCGACGCCCCCTTCTATCTCCTGGTGATTTTCGCGGCCGTTTCCTGCTATTTGAACGGCCTGAAAGGGGCCTTCGTTCACGACGACATCCCCGCTTTGGCCGTGAACAGGGACGTTTTAGCCGTGAACAGGCTCACGGCCGTGTTCTCAAACGATTTCTGGGGAACCCCCATGAGCGACGCCGACAGCCACAAGTCCTACAGGCCTCTTACTACGCTCACGTTCAGGTAAATCGCTGTATAGGGGAGTTTTAAATTGAATAAAAATTAAAAAAAAACACTCACTGTTTTTGAAGAAAAGGCAATCGCACGTGAACATGTTCGAGAATCAACTCCGCTAACTCGTTGGGATATAATTATTAACGCAGGAATTGTGAATAATGTTATCTCGAATAAATTGTGTCGCCGTTTTAATCGCGCATTTTTTTAAATGACTTATTTAGGCATATTTGAGTAATTCGTAATGGGAAATAATTTAAAGGAATGCCGGTACAAAATGCATTACCTACGAGGGATCCTCCAAAAGTACTTGCTCCTGCAAAAGTCCAAAAGTAATTGTGTTTTTAGATGGAACTATCAATTGTCCGGCTTGAAACCAATATGGTTTCACTCGACCAACGTTCTTCTGCACGCTTCGGCTTCCGTTTTGTTCACGAAACTTTGCGTAAACGTGGCCAATCTCGAACGATCGTTTTCGACTATAGCAGGATTAATTTTCGCCATCCACCCTGTACATACCGAGGCGGTAAGTTCCATTGTAAATCGATCGAATTGAGCTTTGCGAATCCTTCTTTCAGGTAACCGGCATCGTTGGTAGAGCCGATGTTTTGGCCTCCGTCTTTTTCCTGCTATCGATATTGGTCTACCACGGGTAATTATCCATTTCTTCCACACTCTTTATGATCAACTACAGTGTTGTACGAATTGCAGCAATTTAGGAGGAAAGTATTTTCCTTTAGCGAGCATAATACTCTCGGGGTTCGGAATGTTGGCTAAAGAAACCGGAATAACAGTCATCGTTTTGAATCTTTTGCTGGACTTTTACTTCAACTGGCCGCACATAAGAAGGTAATTTACACTTTAATATTCAATTTTTTACTCGTTTTGTTTTTCTCCACAGATCAACCTGCAACAGAGAAACCATTCTATTCGTTCGACGCGCCATTAAACTCCTCACTTCTGTGAGTGTTAAACAATTAATTTTCGACTAATTACAATTCAACCGTTCTAGTTTTGTATATTACTGACCGTTCGATTGGCCATACTGCAAGGATCCCTGCCCAAATTCTCCCAGCAGGACAATCCAGCGGCCTTCCACCCCTCCGTTTGCGTAAGGTAATTTTCCAAAAAAAAAGGGTGAAATCTGGAGTATCCCTGGCACGTTTCAATCGTTCCAGATTCCTCACCTATTGCTATTTGGTGGCTTTCAATTTTTGGTTGTTGTTGTGCCCTTGGACGCTCTCCCACGATTGGCAAATGGGCTCCATACCTTTGGTTACCTCCATCGGAGATCCCAGGAATCTACTTACCGCTTTCCTGTTCGGAATCCTCTTGATGTTGTTGGTTAAAATCGCGAGTGATGTTGAGGTAAATATGCAGTTTATGAAGTTTTACGTTTTATTAGTTTTTGTATTTATTTTGTAGAATACAGCTCACACGCCTATAGTTTTAGGTTTGTTAGTTTTAACAGTGCCTTTTTTGCCGGCTACTAATTTGTTGGTTACCGTCGGTTTCGTGGTAGCCGAAAGGGTTTTGTACATTCCCAGGTGAGTTTTTTTTTTATACTCCGTTCGGCATCGGGAGATGGTAATTTTCGATTGCGAACGGAGTATAGTGTGTGGTAAATTCATTATTCTATTCTAGCATGGGTTGTATAATGTTGGTGGTGTACGGATTGCAATTGTTGTGGTCGAAACGCGGGAAAAATAGGCGAATTTTATTTCTACTGTTGCTCGTTGTATTGGCATCGCAAAGCTTAAGAACTGTTATGAGAAATAGGGATTGGAAATCGAGAGAGACTTTGTTGAGGTGTGTATAATATTATTAAATCGAAATTGTAAATTAGTAAATGAAAATATGTAATTAAACATCGCAACGTTCGTATAAAGTTTTTATTGTGTCATAATAAAATGTATCTCGCTAAGATTTACAAACGAAAAATTTTGATGGCTAATTAAAACGTTTATTTTTAAATATCTCATCTACTAGTCGAATATGAATTTTCCATGTTTTACAGATCAGGACTGAGGACTCTTCCCCACAACGCTAAAATGCATTACAATTACGCCAATTATCTAAGGGACTACTCCCGACTGGACTCGGCGATAGAGCATTACGCCAAGGCTTTAGAGTAAGTAAAAAAAAACCCTCAAAGAAACCTATTTTCTAATAGATCGAATATATTTTTTAAAGGCTTTGGCCGAGCTACGCGAGCGCTCACAACAACATCGGCACATTATTGAACAACAAAACCCTGGCCGAACAACATTTTTTAGCCGCCGTAAATTACTCGCCCGGCCACGTGAACGCCCATTACAATTTGGGACAATTGTACCGGTACATTCGATCTACTTCAGCTCTATTTACGAGTTTCTTATCGCGTTATTTCGCAGGAAAATCGGTAGGATGGAGGAATCGAAGAATATGCTGAAGAAATGCATTCTACTACAACCCGGCTTTACGCCTGCTTACGTGGAAATGTCGCTGTTGCTCGGATTCGATCACGATGCTCTCTACAACCTGCTCAAAAGAGCCGTTGATTTGAATACCAACGATCCGTTTTATGGGACGCAATTGGGACGTTTTTTAACGAGGAAAAGTTAGTACCTTTCTTCAACTCATTTGCCTATCATTCCTCCCCCTTCTAAATCGATTTATGCATTTATTATGCATTTTAGGTGACACTGTGATGGCGCTCGTTTATTATTGGAAAGCTTTGAGGGTGTCGCCCGGACACCGGGAAGCCATGTTGGGGGCGGCGAATGCATTGAGGAAATCCGGTCAAAAATCCCGTTTGCTTCAATTGATAACAAGGTAGAGGTATCTACCGCGAGATATTAGTTTGTGGATATTTAATAATTGTTTTTAGATGGCAATTGATTAAGAAAGGTTGTTGTAAACCGTTGTCGAAAATTCATATCTACATTCAGGAGTGGCATCTTCGAAACGAGTTGAAATTGAGGGCCAAGGAATACGATCAGAACGTATTGGATGTGAGTTATTGATTAGAATTTTTTGTGTTTAAAGCAAGTTGAATGTTGTTGTAGGCTGGAGGTTTCGAAAAAACGCAAAGTTGGATAAATCGGACCGAAGAAAAACCAGTGGTTGCGAATCCATCGGTGTCTCTTCAACATTTACTGGACGTATCGTAAGCACAACGCTGTGATTTTTTTTAGAAAGGAAAAAAAATATTAGTAAGTTGATTACTTTCGTTTCGAATTCTATATCGATCTTTTTAAGGGGGTAATAGGATAAAAAATAGAGATTTATTTAAGAAGTTTATTATATTAAAAAAAACGTAAATTTATCAATCGATTTACAAATAAATTAAACCTAAAACAATCCGGTGTGTTATAGAATCCAACATACATTTTTTTGTACCCAACCAATTATCACACTAATGATACGAGTCAATTTATCACTTAAATATCAGACTAATTGAATATAATTTATTTTAACCGAATGTAAAATAATTCGGTTTAAACAATTATTATCACTAGGTTCTTCATTTAAATACGCTTATTAAAATTCTACTTGTTGAATTTCATAAAAAAATTTAATATATAAAACTTATTACTTAAATTTTATGAAATCAACCGGTAATATTTTACCTAAAGACCATTTTAGGCGACACTTAGTTGAATAATATGTAAAGAAAATTATATTCTTCAACTATTCTAAATGAAATCGTGTCACCTAAAGTGAACTTAAGGCGTAATTTAACAATTTAAACATACCAAAATAATTCTAAAAGTATTGCTTAGTATTCAGATATAATCACATCTGCTAAGAAAAGAAATTACTATACTCTGAGAATTGATATTTCAAGACTCCGATGATAGTAAGTACATTCTCAGGAAGTTTATTATTAACGAGTATGAACATCATTTAATTTTTCGTTACTAATGTCAATAAAACGCAAAACGAAATCGAACAGATATGCTAAAAATTACCAGATAAGATTTTTACATATTCAAAAATTTCCTTCAAAGTTTTTATTTGCTGCCCTTATAATACGGAAAAAACGATTAAAAATGAGTATAAGTGATCGAGTCAATTGTCCCTGCAAATGGGGCAAATCCGGCGTCCCCCGTTGCTCATCATAAACCAACGTTCGATGCAATGCGTGTGGAAACTGTGGTTGCATTTCAACAGACTTACGTTTTTCATCCACATTTTCATATCGTCCAAGCAAATCGAACACTTTTCCACCGTCTTTTTTCTTCTCCTATAACAAATTAATTCTCGTAAACTAGTATCCAATCGACAGGTAAAACTATTCAGCAGTTATACATTTCTAATTGTTAATTTTCTGGTACTTACTTCAATCTCTCGTTTTTCTCATCGGTATCATTCTTCCATACGGGAGTATCGTATCCACAGTCGAACGTGGTGGTGGTGTCATCATTGTAATTGTAGCGATTTTGATTTTGATTGGTCGAATTCCACACGTGGTAAACTACGGTCCCCAAAGCGACTGCTAAAGCGACTCCAAAAACAAAGGGAGTAAATTGCAGGGGCATTCTAGAAAACTATTAGAAATAAATTAGTCGTTTGTTCTTTCAAATAAATAATTAAAAAGCTGTTAATTACTTATATAATTTAAGTTATTTTACCAACCTTTGAGTATTATTAGGAGTAATATCGACGATCCTAAAGCTAAAGCGTGCTGAATATTTGGGTTTAGGTTAATGAAGGTCGGTGGTTCACAGAAATGCCATTGACCTTATATCAACGATTGCTACATTAAATCCGCCTTTTTTAATTTATATGGAATGAAAATATAAGAGACAAAATATTTAGGAGGATTCAACAACAATAATATTAATAATAATTAAAGTAAATAAATAAGTAAATAACGTTTGATGAGTTATACTACGCACAAAGCGCACAAAGTTGATAAAATGAATTGTCAATTGTCAAATAAAATTCTTATTTCTACTTACCATTTTTAGGCTATTCTTTTGGCGCATCCAGCCACCAATATTCCTTTCATGCGTTTGTGTTTGTATTTATTCCATTTTAAATAAATATGTTGTAAAAACGTCGAATTTCATCCAAAAACTGAAACCAATGCGTATTATTATTGTTACTAGTCAAAACAATTAGAAACGTCAAATTCTTCTTCTAATTCCTTTTGATGCCTAAACTATTCAGCGTAACCGAAAACTTGTTGACAGTTGACGTAATGTCATATTTAGAAAAGAAAAAAGAAGAAATTTATAGGTTAACCCGATTAATTTCGTATTTATTTACAAATTTCCTATTAATTCAGCCGTAAATTGTGCCGAAAATGCAACGCGAACGACGCACCAACGCCGGTAATCGAATGGCCAAACTCCTAGACGAAGAGGAGGATTGTCAGGACGAATTCTACAAAGAAAACTACGGCGGTTTTCAAGACACCGAATCCGACAGAGAATACGAGTAAGCCCTCAAAATTCCTCAACGGCAAACCTATTTATAAATTTTCCCGTACGCAGGGCCGTCGGCGACGACGAAGACATCGTCGATTCGGATTTCAGCATCGACGAAAACGACGAACCCGTTTCGGACGCCGAAGGCGACGAAACACAAAAAAAGAAACGCCGGTTGATCACCAAAGCTTACAAGGTAAAAATCCACCGGATAAATCGCGCGAATTAATCGTACTTACCTCGTATCGTAGGAGCCCGTCCAACAGAGCGAGAAGCCCAAATTGCCGAAACCCAAATTTTCGAAAGTCAAGCACTCGTCGAGTACCGCAAACGAATCGTTCGGTGAGTTGAATTTTTTTATATATGGAGGTGAATTTGAAGGGTGAATGTCGTCGTGTCGAAAGTAACTAGGGAACGTTCGTTTCTTTCAACTCGAATATATTTTTGTGTTAATTTAGGAAGGAAGTCTGTGAGGAAATCGACGTTGGCCAGGACGGCGGAGACTGCGCAAAGGGTGAAAGTGAGGGACCTCGAGCAGCGTAAGAAGGTGAGGAAACAAGCCGTAGAAGAATGGATACCGACGCAAGAGGAACTATTGGAAGAGGCGAAATGCACCGAGGAGGAAAATCTCAAATCGCTCGGTAAAACGATTATTAAAAGGCTAATGATTTGTTAGTAAAAATGCGTCGATTGTAGAGAGATATCAGAAGTTGGAGAACGAAAAGAAGACCAAAAGACCGATCAAAAAGATGTCTTCGGGACCAATGATACAGTATAAATCTATGAGAATGCCCGTTATCCAAACAATAGAGTAATTTGCTCGTCTATTTAATATGTAATTCGAAAATTATTAATCGTTATTTTTAGTACAAACGAAGAAAGCGAAAGCTGTGAAGAAAAATACTACGAGAGGACATTCGTAACAGTTCTAAACGATCCTAACGATGTCGTTTTTAAAAAAGTGTTCAACATCAAGCCACCTCCAACGTTACCGAAAAAACTCAAATGTGCTGTTACTGGGTAAGACATCGGTCACATTATCACTAATCTAAAGTCTCGTCTCTAATTTGACAGTTTTGACAGTTTAACTAGGGAGTAACTAGGGACTTTGTTTAAGTTAAAGCGACTCTTTAGAGCCGTGTTTAAGTTAAAAATGGGGCGCTGAATACGGGGCTAATCTATCTATTTATCGCTCGAATTTGCTAATGAAGTCTTTGGATTTGTTTGTAGGAAACCTGCGAAATATGTGGATCCGATAACGTGCGTTCCTTATCACAATAGCACCTGCTTGAAGATAATCCGATTGGCTTACTACGATTATTTGGAGAACAACGGAGATAAGAGCAATTCGATGGTGGCGGAATTTACGAAATGGTTTTCGCAGAACAAGAAGAAATTGAGGAACGAATTGATCCTTCCCGAACAGAAAATCTCCTGCAATTAATATTGAAATGAAGGTAATTTTTAATTATGTTTTGTATATCTTGGGAAAATTGCAAAACGCAAACGAACGCTTATTAGATATTTTTATTGATTTGTGCACAAATAATACATACGATAATCTCAAATTATTCTGAAAAAGAAAACTCTCGACGAATTCATTTCAAAAAGTACAACAAAAAAAATAGAATTAACATCAAATAGTATTAATATGACACATAAATTACCTTAAAATAATGTTTCATTTCATTTCATCGAAGGTATTATAAGCTACCTTTTTTTTTAAATAATATTATAATGCCTTTTTCAAACTTCTTAAATAGCCATTTGTTTTGAAGTCGTCCAAAATCGACTTCAAATTACTTAAAAACTAATAATCTAAGTACAACAATATATATATAAAGAGGTTATTTCGCGTTTCATAAAAATGTCCAAAATAAATAACAAATTGCACTCGGCTCAATTATTTTTTTTTATTTATTGCACGTATCCGAATTATTCCAGAGTATTAAATTTTATTTTTTTTTACTTAATAAAACCATATGTTCGATTCTAGTTATTATTCGAGAAAGTGGACGGAAAATAATGAGATTTATTTTTCATCTTACAACCGAAATATCCTACTCAGATCTCTTGAATTATTAATAAAAAAACCAGTAATTAAATATTTCCATTCAAATTAATTAGAGGTGAGAAATTTTTATTGCTTCTATTTGAAAATCAGAATCTTTTTTTATGAAAAGTTCTGTTTTCGAATACTTTACGTTATACTTGAGCCCCCTGTAATTTTGAAAAATCCTTAACAAATTTTATAATACATAAATTATTGTAAAATGTTTGTTCGTTTTTCTAAAGGTTCGTTTAAACAACGCCTATGCAATTACCAGGCACTTATTAAACTGAATAGAATATTCATTTTGAATAAAAATAAAACGTGTATTTAACAAGACGTTATTTACAACGAATCTTTTTAATTATTTAAGTCGCTTAAATAAATACATACCTTATAATGTAATAATTACACAGAGAATTTCTAACTTTGCCAAGAAAATTCGATAAGTACAATTATTATACAGTATATAATTTACAGGGTGTTTCTTAGGCAAGTGGTGCATATTTTATGAATAATAAACGAAATAAAAATTAATTATATTTGTTGCAAACGTGATTTAAATATCGCCATTTGCCTATTAAACATCCTGTATAATAAGAAATAATGTGCATGGGTTTACTTTAGTTTCTCTCGGTAGTCGGGCATCTGATCCTTTTCGAATTCCTTTGGCACCTTTTCGATAAAAAATAGTTATTTTTTTTCCTGTAGCGCGTTTATCGAAATCACTTTTCTTTTTCCCCGGGCGGCTTTTCCAATTTCCTTATATTTTTTAATACCGGTAAATTTTCGAGACATTTTTTTTTTCGATTGGGGTTCACAAGTTATTTTTTTTTGTACTTCTATGCTTTTTTTTTCTCTCATTTTTAACTATTTTTTATCAAAATACCGCCGTTGTCGATTTGAAAAAAATATTTTGTTGGCACTCTAGAAAGAACTTTGTACTTTCGCAGAAGAAAAAACATCTTTGAGATATTAGTAATATTAAAAAAATGGATAAATGCCTATCCAAAGATCTACTTAGTATACAAACAATATTTGACGTGCGAAATAAATCCAAAAATTCGTTTTTTTTTAATATCGAAAATTTTGAGATTCGAAAAGAGTATTTGCGTATTAATTGGATTTATTTCTTCGCCTGCATTAAATGCTTCGATTATTTTTAGAAAAAAAATATTAATTCCAAGTGTGAGGTGATTGAGACTCAATTTTTATTATTAAAAAAATAATAAGATGTTATCACAGTTGATTAGGGAATTGTAAATATTAAAAATAAAATAAATAAATCGAGGCATTTAACGCATTTTTAGCTTTCGTATTGTTATGAAAGTAATCTCATTGTAATTATCTGAATTACATATTATTACACAAAAAAATGGTTGAAAAAAATACTTCCACAACAATCGAATAATCTACTAAAATGTTAAGTCTACAACAAGCACAGCGGAGTAAGTAATTCGAGAATACCCAAATAGAGAAAAAAAAACAAAATAATATTTAAATCGATTTACAAATAATAAAATAAAGTAAATCCTTACTCGACTGCACCGCATGGCAGAATTTCAACGTTCACATTACATAAGTATCTGATTTTAATTTTTTTAGTAATACACGAATGATAAAAAATAAAAAAAAAAATAATAATAATTAAAAAATCTTTTAAATTAAATTAAATTAAATTAATGTAAAAATTAAACAAAAACGTGAATTCGCTGTTAGTGATGTAAATTTGTTAGACATACCGCTACCCTTGGAGTTGGTCCGGCGCTTCCGGGTTTTAAAATTTTTCGATTTTTGTCGTTAGTCGAAGGATGGACGCAGAAGGGGTTGTGTGGGGTGTGTTTGTGACGAAGGGGGTTAGCACTCCACAAAGCCTAAGGCCGGCCAACCGAGTTAACAAGAAAAGAAAAAGAAAAAAACAGTTTGTTAGTAATTTCGTTCGTAAATAGCTTCATTTTGATTTGACACGGCACAATTTTATTTTTTTTTTTTTTGAAATTTATAAGGTCTACTGTGCCGATTATATTTTTTTTATTATTACGTATAAATGTAAAATGATTGGTGAATCGTCGTAAACCTTATAAGATTGAAATCTCAGTGTCAAATATTTCGTTTCTTTTGCATTTAAAATTGTAAAAAAATAGCCCAAAAACGTCCAAAAAATGTTGATTAAAATCACCAAAATATTGATTGAAATAGCCAAAATATTTTTAAAAACACAGAAATAATTCATTAAAATTGAAAAACAAATACTCCTATTATTCATTGAAATAATTCTACAATTTATAGAATCGAAAATAATGACATGACTTCACTACAAATACCAATAAAATTGCGTATACTCTAGTTAAAAAAGCGTAGTTTAAACAAACATATAGCTCGTAAAAATCAATATTCAAAAAAAACCCAGTTAATAATAATTAAAACGAACAATTATTATTTAATTAAACTCATTTACCTACACCTTTTTTTTTCTAGCAAAACGAATTAATCATCGAAACGAATTCGACATGCACTGATTATTGTGAATAAAAAAAAAAGATACGAAAAAATGACACTGAGATTAGAGCGAAAAAATTTCGTACAAGTATAAAATAAATAACCTAGGCAGCGAAAAAGTGTGTGAGAGTGTTCTATATTAGGAACTATATTAAAAATAATGCGTGCAAGAAATTCCGAAAATAATCGAAAGTGAGACGCAACCCCCGCGGAATATCCAAAACAAATCGATTAAAATGAATATTTATACTTTATTTAGTAACTACGGAAAGAAAACTCGTGTAAAAAAAAGTTACTCCTCCATAGTTTCTAAATAAAGTACGAGTGAATTTCGAAATGATTTTTTTTCCTTTACGATTCGATTAGAAAAGGCAAATCAAAAAATTGTTATTCGTACTGTACAAAAAAATAAAATGTTAATGCAATTTTAATATAGTGCTATATGGAACACAATCATACGTTATATTATATTCCTCATTCATTCGTAAATAAATTAGTGAACTTGGCCAAAATTGTGGAATTAGAAAGTTATGATTTACTCGTGAGTGTTAATTAGCGTAAGTTAATAACTAAAAAAAAATAAAATAAAATTATTACAAAAGTTACAAATCCGAGTCGTCGAGCGGACTAAATAAAAAGTCGATTAAATCGGGGGATCGCAGAAATAAAATAAAATTATCGTAATTTCGTATAAATATATTTTGTTCCACATTGGCGCAAGTCAACAAAACAACATACAAAAAATATACTATAGAAAGGTAATATTGTATAAATCTAAACGAATCGGATTCCGGTATAATTTCAAACCGAAATCCGACTCTAAAACTCTAAATAAAAATCATCTCACTAAATCGCAACGAAAGATAAACGCAATTCGAGTGAGTCCTATAATATTAAATTAAATCAGCACGTCTTTTTTTTTTTCGTTTTCGTAAAATGCCGCTTTTATTCCAAATAATAGAAAAATAATAACTCTACTCGATTAGACCGAATAAATCCAGTCATCGTTGAATTTTTGACAAATGACGTTTGATATACACGTCAACTGTCAAGTATTTGTTAGCGAAAGAAAGAAGGATCGAATCGCGCGCGCTACATAAAAATATACTTCGAAATAAATAAATATGTAAAATAATATAAAAAAAAATATGTATAAAAAAAATTTTTTTTAGACTAGTTATCACGTGATGTGACGTTTGATGAGGTACGAAGTGTGTCTATTATACATGGTGATTCGTAAATAACGGACTTTTTCCCATATTCTACGCCTGCTGCGCCCTCTCGCGGTCTTATTTCTATCTACTTGTTCATCAGTTCATTTCACTTTTCTCTATTTCGCTTTTTCTCGGAGATTCGCGCAAAGCTTGGTTTGATTTTCAAAGCTTTCTATTACATTAAAATACCCTAACAAAACCGATAATGAACTTTTATTTTTTTTTAAATCACAACCTATTCTCTATGTTTTCGTTAATTCTTCCGATCCGTTCGGAACGGATCACCCTGTATAATATAGTACGGACTTACTTAAAACTAGAATGTCTCGAGCAAGGCAAAAATCAATGGTTTTTTTTTCTGCTTTTGAGATTTTTTTTATTTTCTGGAGTTTTTTAATGGATTATTGCTGGAGAAAATGATTTAACAGTAATTGAAAATGTGCGTAAGAATTCTACTATTCCAAAAATTGGTTCATTTTAATTTTTTCTTGTCCGATTGCTTCTAAGAAAACAATTACTGGTTAAAATATAGCCTTATAGAAAATAAATATATACAACCTAAAATCTAATAAAAAAAATTAAAACTAATCTTAACGCATTTTTGCCTTGTTTATGTAATAATATGGTAACCTAAAATCGAAAAATAAAATAAAAATCCTTCCTTCTTCCGATAGAGAAAAAAAAAATAATAATAATAAAAAAACGAGATAATTTTGCAGGGCGTTATCTTTTAAATATTATATACGCATCAAGAGTGCTATCTTTTATCTGTCACAACCCGCATAAATGTTTACACTCGAAAATACTGATAAAAACTGCTTAAAAATTTTGCAAAATCAACCAAACTTCCACTATAATTAATTTCATCAATTAATCGACGAGAATTTTCCACACAATTACGATCCGAATTGGAAAAGTAACGCATTAAGAAACGAAAAAAAAAAAATCAATCGGAAAATTCTCATCGAACTCTCCCTCACGTCAATTGTCAAACATTCGAAATTTGACAATTGACAGATAAATATCAATCGAAGAGTGAAATAAAAATCTCAAAACAGATAAATAGTACAAAGACCACATTGGTTGTCATAGGGAAGGGCATCTGAAATTAAAATAGAAAAAGTAGAAAAACAATCAACTAACCTTGTTTAATATGATTTTGCGGGGGAGGGGTGGCTTTTTTTTTAAGAAAGCGCGCCCGCCCTCTGGTAGGGATGCTCCCTAATTTGTCCCAACCGTCGCTGTTTCGCAGCCACAGCTGCCGCACCTATTACAGATTATCGTTAAATTTTTTATTTCTATTATACAAATATTAAACTATCATCTCATTACACAACAACAATGCAGTCTCCCATTTTGTGTGTAGGTGTGTGTGTGTATGACTATTTTTTTCCAAAATAAAAATAAAGCTAACAAGTCACTGCGAATGTTACTAAGAAAGAGAGAGAGAATACGCGAAAGTCGAGCTTTTATGTTTTTTTTTTTAGAGTCGAAGACTACACTTTGTCTACGATAAATGGAGATATATTTTTTTTACAGGTCGACTTTCGGGTAAAACAGAAAAATAAAATCTACTAACATCTATATGAGATTACTACTTTGTAGCTACTGAAAAGGAAAAATAATATATTAAAGCGTTTGATCGTAATAATTTACCACTACTCCTATATATCGATATTTTAAAAATATGATACACCTAGAAAATTGATTAAAAAAAAAACCTTAAGTTCAAATAAATATCTTAAAAGTAACAATATAAATGCTTTTTATACACATTTAAAAAATTGAAGAAGTGATTTATACGAAAGTGGATAAAAAATAAAAAAAGAATCTATTTACACATTCGTACTTTTAAAACATAAAACTTAAAAGTGCAAAAAAACAACTGACTATTAACTGACTGACATAAAATATATATAATTTAAAAAATATATATAATATACCTAAATATGACTTGCAAGACAAAATTGAAAAAAAAATTAATCCAGATTAAAAATTACGTAAAAAAAATGAATCGTTTTCGATTACACAAACACGTATCAATCTGTCTAGCGGTTAAAAGTATCACAGAAATATATTGTAATAAATGAATTAAATTGTGACTAAAATTTGAAAAAGTTTTTCCCGACTAATCCGCGAACCAAAATAAAAAAAATAAATTGCTAACTTTGAATTCAAAAACTGTTCGACCTGAATCGTTAAAGTTATTTTACAACACTTTACTGAGCATATTTTTGAAAAAGAAATGATCTAATAGATTTTATAATAATTGCCAAACGCATTTTTAAATACCTAACTACTCATAATATTGAACGAAGTTGGCTATAAATGGTTAAATGTTTCATTTAAGTGACTAATAATTTTGGGCTATTCAGCAGCAATAAAGCATTGTTTTAAAGCGCTCGATTGATCGAACGAATATTCAGGTACAACAGATTAAACTAACAACGAAATTATTTCCAAAATCATGCTGCAAAACCAAAAAAAAATAATAAAAAAAGCTACTTGAAACATGGCACTTTTTCACCCCCCCAAACCAACATTTCCAAAAAGAACCTACTTACTGACAACGAATTTTTCGTACATCCCTCGTAAAAATGTCATCCTACTAATTAACAAACAAACAAACAAAAAAAATACATTCAACACCTCCAAAGGCTATGCCAACTATTAATAACCGAAAAAAAAATTAACGTACACAGCCCCCTTGGAAAAAATAAAATAAAAAAAAACGCAATCTAAGTACAAAATGAAAGTACGACCCGCGAACGAACCGTAAAACAAAAACGCCCTAATTCAGATTCCTCTTAAAACGATCCGATTTGCACGTTTGACTTCCCAAAACCCCTACAAAGGGAATTATTTGTACAGTTGTATTAAAAAAAAAGGGTACAAGTAATAGAAAAAGACATTAATGTCATCTTATTTGTGTAAAACCGGCTAGAATTATTATTTTAGCTTATCAAATGTCAAAAGTTGTCAACAATAATTCAAGTAGAGGATATCCATTTTCGTTAGACTATTTGGTAATTTTTAGTAATTTCCGCGCAGTTCAAAATGTCCCTAGTGTGCCCATTACTTGTATTTTTCTTGCAATTCGTGCAAGTTAGTTTTAGAGAGTTTTTCGTGCGGTTTTCGGTTTGTTTTTCGACCTATTTCGATAAAGAACGGTGGAGGGGAAGAAGACTATTGGAATAATTGACCTAATCGTAAAAAAAAATCACATAATGTTCTGTTAAATCGATGCTCGTAAGCTCACATCTGATCTGCTTTTTCATGTTTAAATTCTACTATTTAAGACTTTTAATTTGTAAACAATGAAAGTAAACATAACCTTAAATCGAACATATCTGTCACATCAAGGATATCAATTACAACCCGGCAACGTTGCAACAGGCTTGCCCGACATCCACCAGTCTAACGAAAAATGGACAGCCTTTATCATTGGTCATTATTTCGTTTAATTGACCCCCCCAAGCGCCAATGATTTCCATTTTTTTTTCCAACATATGACATTTGATAAGCCAAAATAACAATTCTAGCCCGTTTCACGCAAATAGGACAACGTTAATGTCTCTTTCTAAATACTATACTTCATCCATCGAAGCAATGGAGTAACTAAAACAAGTTTAGACGCTGGATCAATGCGTAATCATCAGTGATTGGTCAGCGTAAGGAGGCTTTTTTATTTTACCCAATAGAAGAGAATGTGCTTGATGATCCAGCGTCTAACCTTGTTTTGGTATAGTATAGTACCTTTTTTTTTCGAATACAACTGTCCTCGCTTGCGATAACACAACAATAAGGGCGTTTCGTTTCACGACGAATCAAATAGATAAAAAATAAAAAATAGAAAAAAAATGTCAACGGGCAAACAACCCACCCGAATGATCGGCCGTCGTGTATTCGGCGAGCAACGGCGACGCCGCCGCCAAGGCCGCGTAATTCGTGTAATCGGCGTAGGGCGTGTAGATCAATCCGTGCGGATCGCCGGGCGACAGAAGCGAACCCGGCGGCGGCGCCGAACCGTTTAGAATCGACGCCGCCGTCGTCGGGACGGACATGCGCGGCGACAGGATCAACGGCGCGCCGAGCGGCGTCCCTTGCGTCCTCATCGGCGTCCCCATGCCCGGTATGCCGGGCGATAGGAGGCGTTGCGTTTCGACGGCGGACGCCAGACGGCGCCATTCCTCGTCGCAGGCTGGAATTAGAAATTCTGCGACACATTAATTTGTTCCTTATATTAGAGAGAGAATTGTATGTACGGATGAGTGCAAATTTTTTTGATGCAAATTCGCGCTTATCTGTATAATTATACTCCGTTCGTCATTAGGAGATAATATAATACCGTATTGAAGCATTAGAAACGCCAAGAAATAGTCAAAAAGAAGGTACTAGTCGAGCGAGTGGCTATTTGACCGATCGGTCAAAGGCCTCCTGTCATTTATTTTTTTATTGGAGAATTTTGACATTTTGACGTTAAGTCGATATAACCTAACTTTTACGGAGTATAAAAATATTGAATTTGCACTTATCTGTATAATTATACTCCGTTCGTCATTAGGAGATAATATAATAGCGCATTGAAGCATTAGAAACGCCATGAAATTAATCAAAAAGAAGGTACTGCTCGAGCAAGTGGCTATTTGACCGATAAGTCAAAGATCTCCTGTCATTTATTTTTTTATTGGAGAATTTTGACATTTTGACGTTAAGTCGATATAACCTAACTTTTACGGAGTATAAAAATATTGAATTTGCACTTATCTGTATAATTATACTCCGTTCTTTATCAAAACATAATATAACAGCGTATTGAAGCATTAGAAACGCCAAGAAATAACCAAAAAGAAAGTACTGCTCAACCAAATGGCCACTTTACCGATGAGTCAAAGACCTCCTGTCATTTTTTTATTGGAGAATTTTGACATTTTGACGTTAAGTCAATATAACCTAACTTTTACGGAGTATAAAAACATGAAATTCGCTCTTATCTGTATAATTATACTCCGTTCGTTATCAAAATATAACATAACAGCGTATTGAAGCATTAGAAACGCCAAGAAATAATCAAAAAGAAGGTACTAGTCGAACAAGTGGCCACTTTACCGATCAATCAAAGACCTCCTGTCATTTTTTTTTGAAAACTTTGACATGTTGACGTTATAACCTAACTTTTACGGAGTACAAAAAATAACGAATTGTGTAATATTCACCTGCTACTGATGCCGCTTTCGCGCTGGAATCCCTGTAGGTACCGTTTATTATGGCTAGTTCCATTAACTGGCGCTTTTTTAATTCATCTTCGCCGTCCGCTTGCTGGAAAAATTAATTACGATATTTAGAAAAATGTTAAATAAAATAAAAACGTGCCGGTTCTAATCAGATCCTGTTAACATACGAGTACATGAATGAAAAGCAATCTAAAGATATTCCTAAACGAGCGATATTAATAATAAAAACGTGGCTCTATTTTTTTTTTATTTATTTATTAATTAATTTGTATAAGGAATAATCGACTTTCTCTAACTAACCATATCGAGATGAGTTCGTTGATAAGTTCTTCTGTACAAGAGACCTCGTTTTGATTAAGTTCGTTAATAAATTCTCCATTATCGAATTACTATTCGCTCGAAAAATTTAGAATACTAATTGGACGAATCTGTACCTTCAAATTATTAGGTATTTACATCTAATTCTATTAATATCAACGTATATGCTTGTTATAATAATTAGTGGAATGAATTGTGGCGAATTTAACTATCGTCAGGATGGGAAATTAATTAAATTCTAATTGACATATGCGATAATTTCCTCGTAAATTCAAGCTAGTTTATATTATTTGCATTTCGCGTAATAATTAGACTAAATAGCTGAAACGAAAGCTGTGGGAATATACGATTTCATCTTTAAATTGTCAAGAATTAATTACCTATCTATAAAATTAACAATATTTGCGAATAATAAAAACATCCTTATTTAACGAGTTTATCAGCAATTACAATTTAAATCATTTTTATATCGCGTATTAACATCCACAAATACAAAAGCCGAGTTTCTTGACTCATTCTTATCAACGCTAACTTAACATAATAAAATATCCGAGTAATATACTCGACTACGAAATAACTCGAGTATGACGTCACCGATTGATTAACTTTAACATTGTATATTTCACTTACAGGTACTAAGAGTTTTCTAACTTCCTCGACGGCTCTCTGCAATTTCAATTGGGCTCTGTTTTCGGTGTCTTCTACGGTGAGAAGAACGTGAAGTTCGTCTGAGAGGTGTTCCCAATTCGGTTTACCCCTATTTTGATCTTCCTATTAAAAAAAAGAAGACGAAAAAAATTGTTAGTTTTATATAAAAAAAAATAATGTAATACCTGCTAATTAAATGTACTTACTAAATTCCCGTTGGGTTAGTAGACATTAGCGTGAAATTAGAAATATAAGTAGTTAGTAGAAGTATCTAATGTGTTCGTAGATTAATGATATTTAGCCCTTTTTGTACTGATATATTCTTGTATAAAATTAATTAAAAAATTTGTAAAGTTATGATAAAAATCACCTGATAAAACTAATACAATAAACCTGTATTACGTATGACAAAGCGGAAGAGAACTTCCTTTTTGATAAACACCAGCATATTAAATAATTTGATTATACACCTCATAGCTTTATAATTAATTTTCCGCGATTTATTTATTAATATTCGTTCATTCCAACGGCCATTTTATTAGACAACTGACGTATGACGTACGTCAATTATCCCAACGCACGTCGTACGACAATAAACCAGCGGATTTTACGATGCGAATTATTCCAAATAACTCGGACTTTTCCGAGAAATTTCCAACCAGTTTTCACACAAACAACGAGGAGAAACTCGCATTCATCTATCCGCGTAAAGGCCGCCATTATTCGATTCCGTGCTCCTAAATAATTAGCAAACGTTGTTTTCTAAGTAGCTTCAATTAACACGAACCGAACAATGTTCTTTGTGTTCCATGCATTATTAGTTTTGCGCAACTTTTAAACGATCGTCGTTCTATGTCAATTGTCAATCCATGGAGATTGCGTTGGTAACATTGTTAAACCACCACCCAGAACCTACTCGATTTTTAACAATAGATGAAGCAACTACATACACTAATAAAACAGTAATAATACACTAATATACACACCTTCTTTTTGTCCCTCATCGAGCCCTTCCCTCTGACCATTATTTTGCAGCCCGTTTCTTGTTCTAGTTGTTTGGCCGTCATGCCTCGAGGCCCTAGGATCCTACCTACGAAATTAAACTGAAACGAAAAAAAAAACAACATTTAATAAATATCTACTAATATTTTATTAGCAGCAATAATTACGGGGCGTTTAGGAAGAAGATAACGAAGAGAATGTTACTGTGCTCGGTGAAGGCGAGATTGATTTTTGTTAACTTGGGGAATCCCTGTAGATTAATTCGGGAAACGAATCAGCTATAAAAGTAGCTGCATAACTCGTTGATAAACTTTTCTTCTTCTTCTTAAATGCTAGCGTGGATTGAGCTGGGCTATTCGGGAGAGATTAAAATTTTTTTCTGGACTATTTTTAGAAGCGTTGAAGTGGAAAGAAAACGCTTTTGATCGGCTGTAACCTTCGATACGAATTTACGCGGTAATTCGACAAGTTTTATAACATTTAGATCGATCTAACCGGTGAAAATTCGCATTTTTTCTGGATGTAGAAGTTCGGAATTACAGGAAATATGAAGTTACTGTACTACAAACATTTCAAATCGATTCATAATGCATCAAATTAAAGTATTTTGATGCTCCAGCATACTAAAAACTAGCTGCATTTTGCACATAAACTTTAACCACGATTAAAGTGCTTTGCATCGCAATTAAATAGGATTATAATTTTCTGTATCTATTGGGGGGGTACTTGAAGTGGGTTTTATCATCGGATAAAATGGTAATTGAAATCCATACTTACGTCTGGATGTTCTTTAACTGGCACGTAAACTTTCTCTGTGAGTGTCGTAACTGGTCCATCTGGTTCCGGTAATACTAATGGTTCCTTTTTGACTCCATTTATTTGAAATAAACTAGCCCTTACTTTCGCTATTTCTGCAACAAACAAATCAAAACAAACCACACTTTAGTATAACTACAATTAATCCTGTAATTATTGCAAATTGTTATTGAAATATCCACTAAATTATGACATTATTTTCGAACGAGTTAATAAATAATTTATTGATATTTATCCCGATACGGCAGGTATTTGACCGTATCGAATTAACATCTAACCATTATGTGATCTAATGTCGTGCAAATTTACAAGACCTATATTACAAGAGTTAAACGATCGTAAATCTCTTTAATCGATTCTAAATTAGTCGCCAATTGCGCGCTATATAACAGAAAAAACGAATCGAAAGAGAATGTTAAAAAAGCACCTGTTGAATCGTATTAAAAAATTATAAATAAATTGCATCGCATTAGAATAAACTTTTGCTCGCACCCCGGTAGTTTCGTTCGGCGAGTCGTTTTACGAGGGTACTGATAAAAATCGCTACAAAACTACAAACTGATATGTATAGAGACCTTTCGAAAGCCCGATTTACAGTGCATAAGTGTTTTCTTGTGCATACCTTCTTTGAAACAAGCGACCTCAATGTGTAAAATAGCAAATTTTCCATCCAATATGTCCGTTATAATCAAACAATACGCTACATTCTCGATGTCGCATTAATTTAGTTCGTTTCGAAATGCATTTTAAAAGGTTACTAATGAATAATTATCGAATTACATGCGAATTATATAAAGTGCATTTTACCACTCGAATTAAATCATATAAATAATGTTCCGATATAATTCGTAATTAAACGAGAATAATCTATAATTCATTATACAAACTTCGAGCGATTGATGGGCAATTAGCATTCCCGCGGCATTTTTAATAAGACTTATTTAACAATCACAATGGGCCCATTGCGAATATACATTACATACATAATGTATAAATTCACCGGCGTATGTAAATGCATGTATGTAGTATTTTATCGAGATTTCGGATGCCTTCAAACAACGGTTTCATTGATATAGCGATATATTCGCTCGTCATGAATAATGAATCGTTCGTCGAATAGAAAACCAGCATTCAAATTTCGATTAATTAATTTTAAACGTTTGCGCATTAGACGCACAATTTTCCGTATCGCCCTCGTATAGATTCGTCGTATAGCGCAAATACGAGGGCGCCGGAGAAAGTTCGAACGCAACAAATTGCGATTGGGCAGTGTAAAAGATGTTAATTTTAGGTGTTTGTTTGTACACACAAGGCATTTATTATTAGCCATAAAGTCATCTGGTAATTGGGTCAAATTGGGTCATTACGCTATCGGTTTTCGTTTCTGCTGGAGCAATTTAGGAGCTAGACAAGTGCATATTCATGAGTTTGAAGAAAGAAATTTTAGTTTGCTTAGGTGTTGATGAAAAACGGAGCAAATTTGAGTAGTAATTGTGTTTGTTACCACTCGTATATTTTATGAAATGCGATGCATCCTAAATTACAAAAGATGTTATGTCAATAACCGTAGAAAACGTTAGAAACAACATAGTTGACAAATTCCGATCGGTCGTAGAGATACAATCAATAATTGCAAGAGTGGAATTGCAACAGTTACATAACTAGGTATTGGAAATAAATCATAATTAGTCGGCAACTTATAGGGGAAATATTAGAAATGGCGGGTTACGAAAAATATATAAGTTAAAAAGTAGATAAAATACCTTTTACTTTTACCGGTTGTTGCATGTGGGGTAATTGAAGACAACTGGAAAAACAATGAACTTTATATATATCTTTATATTCTCTATCACCCTCGTAAATTGATTTCGGCGCAAATACGGGGGTGCTGCCGAAAATTCGACACGTTGTTTATGTACGTTAATTATACAAAGAGAGTTTCTTGGAAATAAATTCGCTTTTATTGCGAGTTTCTAGTAGCTTATTCTAATCTGGCGAAGAAAAAAAAACAGCCTGAAGTAACGCGAAACGTGATTAATTTGCAAATTATTAGAAGCGCGATAAAAACATTTGCACCTAAGCACTTACATATTATAATATTACCCGAAGAGGAAAAAAATTCAATTCCCTGTATACAATATAATAAGTTTAATTGACGATTTTAAATGGCGTGTTTTCCTTTAGAATTCATTCTTGAAGAATCGCATTCTTGTGCAAATTATCCATGCAAATGTTGTATATACAGGGTGGCTCGTTGAATTTCTATTGAAAATTTAATAATTATGGAAATATATTACACAGTTTAGATATATTTACACGAGTATTTACACCCTGTATATTCAATAAAAGATTGATTTATAGCTCGACATTAAAACGATTTTTCCTCGATTTTATCATCGGCGAAAAGGTTTTTTTTAGAAAGCACACCATTTTATGACAAATTGCGGTTTATTTTAAAACATTTACCCGGCTAAATTCGACACCTAATTAACCCGAGACCGATCGAATAATTCAGCAGAAGAAAAACTAAAAAAAAAAAGATCCAGTTTAAAAATACTGCGATATCTAGCCGAGCGTTTTCGTGAATATATCGTTATATAAATCCGTTTTAATGAAGCCCACGTTCGGTTCATTCACTCATACTTCAGCACCATCCCGGTGTATTTTTAGAGGGAAAAAAAATCTGGAAGGCATATCCTCATATCGTTTTAAAAACGTGAATATCACGAGAGGATTATTCTATTTCGATACAAATTTTACACCGAATTGCATTGTTAGATATGAATTTGATTAGGTCTTTGAGCTAATTATTTTTAGCTTTAGGAGCGTTGGTAACTCCACTGAAACTGGATACTCCAAGTAGGTAAGTAGTTTATCTGAAAACGTGCGTTGAAATACAACAAACATTTTTAACATTATTGTTCAAATGGCTTCCGTACATTTTCATCTTTATCTTATCTTAAAACTGAACCAATAACAAATACAAAAGATTAGTTTATTTATTGGTTAAACACCAAAAAAAATAATTTCGTACGGTTTTTCTATCGCAAATAAAACTCTTTACTAGTAGTTATTATTAAATAATATAAAATTTTAACGACAATGGGCGGCTTCTTTTCTCTCTCGCGTATTTGTTTGTATTATACACCGGTTGAGCAAACTCAAACTGGCGATATTTTAATAGATATTAAAATTAAAAAAAGAACCCGTTAAATAGGAGAATATGTAGGTGCCAACGGTGTCTATTTTGAAATAACATTATACTTTGTAAACGACACACATTTTATATTATACACCTGCCGTGTAAACAGCAATTTAAACCCTCTATCATTTCCAAAAAAAACTCTTCGAAAATGATCATTAATTAACTCCAAATACCTTTTTTATAACATCACTTTTATCTAATGAATGGTTTGTAAATAACGCAAACATTCGGAAAATAAAATACAACACGAATTGAATGAATGAATTGCGATATTACATAATTAATTATCGTATTTGTTGCGATAATATAACAACGAAATTTCTAAGGTTACTGTCGCATTTTCGTCCGGGATAATAAGAAAATAATTACGATGGAAAAAATTCTTTAGCGGTCTTAATAATTTTATAATTCTCCGCGCGGTATTGTAAAAAATTCTCATATTACGAATAATGAATTCGATTTTTTATGCAACCGTGTAATTTGAAAATTCGAATTTAATTAAGGTCGTAAAGCAATCGCAGAATTTATTTTTTTGTAATGCTGATGAGTTTTTTTTTGTATGGCGAATGTTTCTTTGAAACTCGATGATGTGTTTGAAAGTGCTCGGGTTTGTAACAAGTGGAAAATCGGGAGAATCTTGGCAGAATTTCCGAAATTAAATTGCCATAATCTAATCAGCGTATCGACATCAAACGTTCGTAAATCCGAATGTAATTCGCCATTCAGTCGAAAAATATTCAACTCCCGCTTATTACTTCTAATATTTTAATTATAACCAACGCGTTATAGGGCTCAAAAAAAGGGCATATTAATTATTTTACATTATTATTAATAATTATCGTCTCTCCGAATCGTTTTACCGGCACTTAAATAAACTTGTTCCAGTTGCTAAACAACATTTAAACGCTCCAATTTCGATTCAACCAACAATGGATTTTTCTCGGTCGATTTTTTTAAGCTCTAACTCGTGAAATCAAGGATGAAAAATCCGACCTTCTCTCGTGTTATTATCGATTAAAAAAAGCAATAAATTTTACTTTGGGAATTGTTCTTATGGAAGAGAGTCAATTACCTTAATCAGAGAGTCGATTGAAGGGAAAAGAGTCGACTGTATTCACCACCAATTAACCATTCAATTAATTACCTACCATATTAGCGCATTCTAGTTATTCTTGCACTTTTGAGTTTGGAGTATTTCGATCGCCTTGTATTATCCGATAAATCCAACAATAAAACTGACTGTACAGTTAAAAATTACATCATCTCGTCGCCGATCGATTCAACCGAATGTAATAAAAAGTTTATTACATACAGTCCATCCTACCGATGACTCTGTGTAAATATTTACGGATTTGTTTAATTAAATTTGAATAAAATAAGCTCATTTGGTGGGTTTTTTAAGTCAAATTCTATCTAGAAACATTCCATCTATAGTAAGCTCGAAAAGGTTGAAATTTTTTCATTCAAATCGCAGTTAAAGGTATCGAGAAGAAGAGTTTTTAAACAGGTGATTTCAGATCGAAAGAAAAAATAATTCCTCCCATCTAGTAAGCTCGAAAAGGTTGAATTTTTTCAATCGAATCGGAATTAAAGGTTTCGAGAAGAAGCATTTCTAAACCGGTGGCGATTCCGGATCGAAATAAAAAATAATTCCTCTCGAATTTCACCGATTAGTCACACCTTTCGATCGAAACTCACTCGTATAGGAAATGATGGAATGAATCGAACGAATCTTTTGCATTGATGTCGATGTTTTATATAAATTATGTGGATTAGTTTTATAATAATCTTCTCTACAAACACGCCTACAGATCGTAGAAAATCGAGGACAATCCGACCTACGCTCTGCTCTAGTCTATTCAATTACAAAAGAGTATGTACTAACACATA